TATACTTCAATTTTAAAGGATGGATTTTTTGGTACGTTTTCACCACTGGTCGTTAATGGTTACGAAGAATTTGCAAAAAAATATATTTTTGTAATATATAATCTTCTAGGCTACTGATGCCACAAGAACCAACACATATAAAAGGTTGTCCATGAAACAATACTAATTTTGAAGAAATAGGAAGAAATAAACATCTGAAAAACATAATTCGACCCAGGAGTGTAGTGTATACTAATCTAAGCATTTTTATCTAACCCGTGTTTTTCTTTCTTTATTTTACAAGATTAATGGTTCCATCCTTACCTTATACAACTTACGAATTTGCTATCATCTGAGCCCTTTGATTTCTTGGACTAAAGAAGAGTTGAGAAGAAGTAGAAGGACTTAAATATCTTAATATTGAGAGTCTGGCTAAGAAGTGCTTAACTATATTGGACATCTCAATATTGCTGAATCCGCTATCTTTGATATAAATCCTCCCGCTTTCAAAACTGCGTTTGATTGCATGACTAAATCGAAGGTTTCTGAATGATTGAATCGATTATATGTAGACTGGGGTTCATGACTAGATTATGGAAGTGCTAAGCTACAAATTTGTTTTTCCAACCAGATATTTTTTCATGATTATTACTGAAATGACTAACTAAACTGGACGATATTTGAGATCAACTTGAAGAGTTATAAAAAACCTAACAGAATCTTAGATGCAAATGAGGTGTCTAACTGACTTTTTTTTTGATGCAAAATGATTGCTAACCTAAATGAGTATATATATATATATATATATATATATATTTATATATATATATATATATATATATATATATATGCCGCTAAGAAAAGATCAAGAAATCAAACTGTAGGAGTTTCAAGGATTAAAAATAGTGAATTTTTTTGAGCGAAATGGAAGAACATTTCGCTCAAAAAAATTCAATTAAGTGCACTCTTCTTGTAACTCGCTAAAGTCGTTAATCCATTTCTAGCCTCAAATATCGATGCCCAAGTAATATTGGCGCCAGATGGATCAAACAAGACGGATATTCTTTTCCAAATTTGATATAGTACACCGTGAGTGATACAACTATTGACGTTGACTGGAACGCTTTGCAGCCGAGTGAAATATATGGGCCTTTTGAGTACTAAAAATAAAAAAATTCAGCCGAGGATATAATTCTCCATTAAATCTCGTCCATAATGCCTAGATTTTTCTCTTAATATTTTCCTAAAAGTAACGCACCTTTCAAATATATTGGGAAAATGCCTGTTTTCCTACGGATTTGAATTTATTATTGCACATGTTTCAAGGATATATCTTTTTCATCAAGTATAAACAATTAATTGAATTCCAGCTATAGTTAAACTTTTCACACTTGCTTTGGAGAAAAAACAGAACCCAGAACTTTAGTTCAAATCATTAAATTAAATATATGATATATGTGGGGAAATTTATGTTACAATCATCTCATAATCATATAAATTTGATGGGTACATTACATACATAAAACTAAGCTTGAATCAAGCCTGTACTTTATTCCATTTCTTCAATGCCTAAATCATATAGGCATTGACATATAGGCTACATGTTATAACACATGAATACAGAAAAGGTTTTACAAGTAGGCTATTTTTAGAACTATTGTGGAATTTCTATTAAATTGTGTAAATTAGATTAACTTGTACCATTTAGTTAAGTTTATTTAAAATATACTATGTGTAGGATTATTGTATCATTTAGAGATTTCCTTTTATTGAGATAATCATTTCTAACCACTCAAATACCAGAGTTTTTCTTGTACGGCGCTTAGGTCGTACAAACACAATGGAATTTGCCAACCCTCGGCGAAAACTCATGGGTTAAAGCTAAAGGAGGTCACCTCCATCGCGCAGTTCATCAGTGTCAATGTAAACTATCCCAGGTTCTTTTCAGAAATCAGGTACCCACAGGCTGACCACTAAATCAAAGTGGAGGAAGGTGGTTTAACCTTTGATGTGGGTTTGAATGTTAAGTAGTTGATTTCGACTGCGATCTCATTCTAGTTCCGCATGGGGAGCGCAAATTGTCCTTTCAGCAAAGTGGAAGAGAACATGTGTACCAATGTCTATGTGCACTTGATTATATCCTGCTCCACTAATCCTAAAGTTGCTTGGTAGATCTCTCTTTACCGTAGCCCAAATTAGATGGAAAATATATGTACGTGGTTAGTTTGGCTTCTCGAATTCTCGAATAAGGGTTTTGGAACCCTTGTGTCAAAAATTCAGAGGCTTGTTTTCATCTCTAACCCACTTCATCGCCAAAGGGAATGTACAAATAGCATTTGTACATTCCCTTGGCAGACTGCACATAGTTTATGATCTCCAGTCATGATGTAGATTTGAACACATTTTTTTTATCAAATGGATTTTGAATGTATATGAGACAATTATATGTCGACCTAAAAACTACTTATGAAGTAAAATTAAGAAAAAAAACTTTAATTCAGGCAATTTATCTTACTGCTTGTTATAGAATATATTGGTTACTTTTTATCTCAAAATTTGTTATTCAAACTTCCTAGACGCATCATGTATTATAAACCATATCTCTTTTGAACGCATGACCCAATGCTAAAGCATTGGCCTAATCACCATTCTTACACTATTAACAGCAACATTGGGAAGCAGAGATGAAATTCAAAACTACTGACTATAATCTTCTTTTATAAGACAAAAGATTCTATACATTATTGTGCAAAATCGGCGAGTAATTGCTGCGGTACTTCTAACTGTTATATATCTGGCCATAAAAAGTATAGCACCAATGACATATATAGCCATTACGCCAAGATGTAGAAAACCGTGAAACTCAGTGCTATCCATAATAGTCATATCAAAACATCAGAAGCACACATACTACGCAGGATGTCAAATTAAATATCATCCATCCAGGTTTTATAACAAGTATCAACGAGTACAGAAAGACACACACCTTGATACACAGGAAAAACCAAAAGACATGTTCCCAAATAATATGTTATTGTTTCAAACACGTAGAGATAATTATATATCTCCACTCGTCTGTATCTTCTTTGCGTGTAGTCTTCAATCAAATCATTCACATTCTCTGTCTCCATATTTGAATTGAAAAGCAAGGACTTTCACAATCATGTCCTTCGTACACGTTAGTAACTATATTGTTCATTAAGTAAAATGTGGGATTGATCACACGATTCTGATAAATAGGTTCAATAATATCATACATTGATGACAATAGGTATAGTATGAAGTAAAATAAATTTTGATGAACAGTACATATAAGGGATAATGTGGAAAAGGTTTCCCGCTTTAGCTGTAAAATGTCTATTTTATGCTTTATTCATAGTCTTTATTTTCAGATGCCCATTCAAAATGCTCAAACTTCTTCCAAGTTTCAGCAGCTTGAACACTAACCAAATTTGCATTATGATTATCTACTGCGAGTCTTCTCTCATTTCAATGTACTTATTGTCCGAGACTACACTTCACACAATTCATGTAAAAGAGAAACGTGTGGTGAATAATGCTACAAGGAAAAGGTATACCGTCTGGCAAAGGGTCTAGACAGAGAATCCCATTTTCAAGGCGCTGGCATTACGTGCCGGAATAGTCTCTTAGATTCTTGCACTGACTCTTTTCACCGGGAGTCTAGACCGATTATTTATTTAAGTCATAAACGGCAGAAAGATCTTCATGAAATATCGCAATAAGATATTTGGCAAGCCTCTGCTCAGAGATGGTCTGAGACTTACTTCAGTCGTTGATGACCTTCGGATCGACAATCGAATATCAATTCTGGTCCAGAGGAGGATCGACCATCCAACGATCGAAATAGGTCCGAAGAAGCTTCCAGTAAATAAGGTGTTCTCTAATCGATTCCTTTATTTTACACTCAACCTGCTACTGGAGGTCAAAGTAATTTGCTATGTCCGCCTTTGTAATGAGTAAACTTAGCTCAGATTCATCTATTTGCGTGTGTAATACACCGGATAACTGTTAGTACCCTTGGATATCCCAAGGGTGTCAGACCTGGACTCTTATTTAGTGTATTTCGGTCTAAAACATCTCAGTACCGCACTGTATCTAGGACGCTGTATCTTAATCATATCTGCAACCAATTAGAACATGACGATGCTTTGACTGAAAAAATATTACTTCACCATTATTCCTTCCGAGACTGCAAATAACACGCTGCCAACACATCAGCGAACATAAAATCAGTTCCACTCGTTCTGGTACCGATGAAGCACTTCTGATTCTCGTACAGAAATAAAATATTATCCGATATTCCTGCGATCTGTGTTGTCTGAAATATCGATTTTGTAACTGAATGTGAGTTGCGACGAAACCGGCAAATTAAAATTCGTTTAGAAATAAGTACAGTAGTACTTCGACGTGACGAAGGGCGGTCAAACAAATGTTACGGAAATCTCCTTGATTTTTGAATCTCCGGCGCACGGGTGGAAACTCGGAGATGAAGTCAGTGTTGAAAGCGCCTGCTCATGGTCGTGCATGCAGTAGGCTTAAACAAATAATTGACCCCACCCATTTGTTTAGAAGCAAACCAAAGAAAGGAAAATAGAAAACAAATGGGAAAATTAATGTGCACGGTATGACTGCATGTGACCAGCGGATTTTCTGTCTATGCAGCGGTCCAAAGGTGGTGAAATACAAGGTAAGATCTGGGCGCCTGATGACATGAAGCCGGTGGGCGCCCGCTCCCACCATCACGCTCCACCAGCGTGACAACGATCAGATAGGTTTTGTCGCAGGGCTTGTCTCCCGGTCGGAGGTGGATGACCCATCGGTCCGAGGCAGGGAGGCGCGTCGTGAGACGATTTTGGGAGAGGACGGTCGGTCCGAGACCGACGGACGGAAGCTGCTTGAGAGCGAGCCAACACGGCAGGAGAGGCGCGTGGGGCCCGGCGAGCGGGCAGGCTGGCGGTGGTCGGGGCGCAGAGCCGCTCCATTTACGAGCCAGGGGCCATCGGAGTGGAGGGGCAGATTTAGACGGAAAGAATAGAAATGAAGGGAATGGAATTGAATTGAAACGAATGGAATTGTGGAATCAGCTCGATCGAAGGTCGGGTCTGTCATTTAGTACTCTGCCGAATCGGGCAGAGGGCAGTGTTCCAGCTTCGATTAGGCTCTTCTGCGAATATTAGCTTAGGTTATGGCTGAAGTTGTGCGCTAGTGTTACAGCGGCGATTAGTTTAGACGCTCACTGGCGGGCAGGTTGAGGTAGTTATCACTCCTTCCGCAAGAGCTGGATGAGGAGGAAGAATCCAGGGCAGGCAGGACAGGGCACAGGCGGGGCAGAGACGATGCGCTGGACGATAATTTTATTTGATCGATGAGTAGTTATTCGATTGGAGGAGTCTTGTCTGGAATTTTGGGAGCTCGCAAAAGGTGGAGGGGGCGTGGCTCGCGAGCTTTTACAGGGAAATTTGCCACTTTCAGAGACAGTAGTGGGAACTGATTATTTTCCGTTTCGCGCATGGAGGGCAATCCTGGTTCGAAGATTTGCAACTCCAGCTGAGAGATTCTTCTGGGTTGAAATTACAGAGGAGAAGTCAAATTTGTGCTTACAGAGCTCCTCTGTGGGTGCAGGGTGGGTTGTTTGGAGCTTGCAGCTGTGCATGTGACACCCGGTGAGTTTCAAAGAGATAAGCAGCTGCACAGGAAATCTTGGGATCAAAGTTTTGCATGAGATTTGTGTTCTCAACGAAGGCAGAACATAATTAAACCTCTAATCAATAATTCTACTTAAGATGCCCGGGGCTCTCTGCTAAGCCTTTGCAATCATTCAAAGCTGCTCAGCAGCCCAGGACTTTTTAAGAGTAACCGTTTAACAGGGACATTTGCTTACCTATCTCAGAGGTTTGTTTTCAGTAGAATATTCACTGAAAGGAGAAAATATGAAGAGAACTATCTTGGAAGCCCTTCTGTTCGTACAAGTATATTATTCGACATTTACAGTGGTGTATCTGTTTATAGTTTATTTTCATCTCTTCTAGACAAAATTGTACAAGTTCTCGCTTGTTTTCTGACCTTGAGAAAATGTAGCATGATCGGGAAGTTTATATCCAATTTTAGCAAGAAGATTGCAGTAAAGAAGCAGAAAATTTGACTTTAAGACTTCGTCCACTTAACCTTGTGTTGGAAATCTGCCAAATACAATGTGGAGATCACCTTCATTGAACGAACAATCATGTAACTGTCAAGATGTCTTTCAACAGTTCTCCTGACTAAGGTTTTGAGAATATGATGCCTCATCCTGAATGACCACTTTGGATTTTACTAGTGTGCCATATGTTGAATCATTTCTAACATCCACATCAATAAATTTTGCTCTTGGTTGAAGTTGACTATCTTTTTGTTTCTTGTAAGTTAAAAAACTTCAATTTACCTTCCTGAATTATCCTCTATACATTTACCTAGTACTCACAGCTTTGGTTACTGATTACCACAAGCCAGGCGACATACCTCTGTTTTTCTACAGACATAATTGATGAGGTAAATTAGTGCGAAACAAGCATGCTTTGAATGGGACAGTCATAGCTGGAATGATTGGCTGATCTCAAATGCGAATCATTTCAGCTATTTGTGATTCATTCTAAGGTGAAGAGTCCTTCAAAAAGCTGCGTTCTGTTAAAATTTGAGTTACTGAATGTTCCCCTCAATTGTGAACTCTTGACGTAAAATTGGCTCAATAGTTCTCGTGAGTGTGGTTCTCTTCAATGCTTTCAATTCAAATCTTTTTCACCTTGGGTGCTGTCTAGTGTTTGACCAGATAGGATGGGTGTTGACTAGAGTTGTCAGACGAGTTTGCTCCTTGAACATAAATGATGCATTTTGTTTTCAAATCGAATTTTTTTTGTGATTTCAGGGCTGCAAGTTGCCAGAAGATGGTGGACTTTTACAATCATGTCAAACATTGCACAACTCATCCAAAATTTCTTCATAGCAACAGTACCAGTCACAGATGGGTATTTGGGGCAATTGCGGAACTTATTGACAATGCCATTGACCCGGACGTCAACGCATCTCAGTTCTGTATTGACATGAAAGAGTTCAACAATGAACCATGTTTAGTATTCATGGACAACGGTTCTGGTTTGGTTCCTGAGAAACTCCACAAGATGCTCAGTTTTGGACACTCGAAGAAGGTAGATTTATGTACTCTTTTAAGGACATATATTTTGTTTCGCTTTTTCATACTAGTGGTTTATCTCTAGCACATCTCAGCCAGGGCCATCAGGCGAGGTCACGAAGATTATAACCAGTACAGTAAAGTGACTTCTCTCTGGCAGAATGTAACCAAGTGACTGTACGGCCTGTATCCTGCAGCAAATGACTCCTGGAGACAGATCCATAGGGAAGCATGGAAATGGTTTCAAGGTAGGCTATCTATCATGGACCCGTCTAATAGGATTTTTTTTTGTCCTGCAAAGTGATTAAGCCTCGTCTCATCCCTAGATCATCTGGATCAACCAGAATTCCTATCTTATCAGTCTTCTATAAGTATACTTTTTGGTCCTTTTTTCCGCTTTGCACATAAGTAAACTCTAATTCTCCTGCCTCCCTGCCACCTTGATTTGCGCACTGTGGCTGACAAGAAGGTTTGATTTTCCAGTCAGGGACAATGCGACTAGGAAAAGATGTTCTGGTGCTTACCAAGTGCACGGAGAGCATGACTGCCGGATTTCTTTCTCAGACTTTTCTGGTAATGTATGGCCAACTGAACTGGCTTCAGCTACGTACCGTTGATTGTCTTGTTCATTTTATGCAATTTAGATAGGAAGAATCTTCACGTTGTAACATAAAACCAAGTGTCTTCTGCATTCTGAATTTTACGTTTGGTTGTTCTCCAGGCAGACACTAATGCTGAAGATATTTTGATTCCACAAGTGTCTTGGGATCGTCAAGGAAATATCCTCTCATAATTGAAGCGTCTATTCTCCTTCTATTAAAGTTGAATAGACGTACAGAAGATTGTGGAGTTGATTTTTCATGTTTATTTTGGTTTTCTAAAGAGGTTCAATTGCATTCGGCAGTTTGTGTAAACTACTATCTCCGAAACTGGGATCCAGTGGTCTCATTTTGGTTTTTATCTTCATTGTGAAACTTGACTCTAAACACATCGTCTCTCCCCCGTGGATCTGGAGATAGAGGAAAGTTTGAAAGCTATTTGTAAATACTCGATCTTCCCAGATGAAGAAAGTCTTCTAGCACAACTGGAAGCCATACCTCAAACCGGCGCAGTAAGTCATTAGTGAGCTACTTTGACTGTCTTCTTTGTATGTTATATCTCTTTTATCTAAAAAAGCTTGACTGGCTCGAAATTGCTATCGCTTAACCCTTCGAAGGTTGTTCGTGTGCTGCGTTGGCCGTCTTTCTGAAACCTCTACCCTGCAACCTATTTTGTAAGTTTACATATAAAAAATTGGTTCCATGATGACAGCCTTGTTCCATCTTTAATAGGTGAAAGTGAGGAGAAGATTGGATTACAGGTTATTGATCATAAAAACGTGTTTTCCTTGACAGATCCTGATTATATCAAACCTGCGTCGTCACGAGGGGGTTCTTGAGCTTGACTTTGAAACAGATCCACATGATATTCGCATCACTTCTGAAATTACTTCCGCCGCACATTTCCAGCAGCTTCGGCCAAATCAGGTAGTCACTTCTCACCTCAGGCAAATATTCCGTCACCCATTCTGAACTTTCAGGAGAATTGTAAGTACGATGGCAATGCATCAACAGATTCTAGGCTATTTAGTTTTTTGAGAGATACATTGTTGTAGACAGACGCACGCCTCTTCACAGCTCACAGCAAGTATTGATTATTTGTGAATCTAAGCAATTACTTCTGCCCAGCAACCGTTTCTCCTTTTATGCTTGTACCTGAAGTAGTCCTATATTGCGGGAATTTACTTGTGTTTATAATTGGTTAATGCAGCCGAATACAACTGTAGTCCCAATGGATTTTTCCCTACGAGCATATGTCTCTATCCTTTACAAGGTGCCAAGAATGCAGATATTTATCAGGTACGGGATTTATTTCTTACCATCATTCACTTTCCATTGTGGAAATGAATGAAGATCTCGTAGTTTTCATCACGGTGTTCAAGATATAGTACATGTCATAATCCGCTCAGGACTGAGTTTATACATAGAATATCTGATGCTGCACCTTCACCTTCATGTTATTCTTTTTTCTGTGATTTCTTCGTAATTAAGTGGAAGAGATCAGTCACTGTTCACCTGTCTTAACACTGCCGTTTTTTCTGAAGAGATAAGAAGGTTAAGACGAAAAGAATCGCTGGATTACTGAGCCAGAAAGAAACGGAATCGTATAAGCCGTATGGAGTAGCAGAAAGTATCAAGATTGAGCTTGGGTAACACAACCGTAACCTTTGATCGCAATCCGCATATTCACGTTGTCTTACAGTTTAAGTTCAATCTCATAATACTCGTAGTTTCCGCTAGTGACTCACTCAGTGTTATGATAGAAACTTAGCACAAGTATGCTACTATGCATAGCTATATCGCTGTTCATTGTAAATGCCTGTGCTTGTTACTGTCGGTCATGACTTCATCATCAGCACGGAGCATTTCTATTGAAGTGATGAGAATAGACGAGATGAGACATATGACCTTCTGAAACTTTTCTCTCTTTGCAGCTTTAATACAGAAAATAAGAATCTTTATGGCATGATGCTATATCATCGAAATCGACTGATCAAAGCTTACATGCGGGTACGAAGTGATGCTCTCACCTAGATTACTTCAACAAGTAGTGAGAAGTACCTTAATTTGTTAGTTGAGAAGTGAAGGCCTAAAGTAGAGAGTAGATGGTAAGTCATCAACAGTGTTGAGTGTCCTGTCCTCGATAGCTGGCTTTCCTTGTTGTACATCGCTATTGTGACGTGCTAATTTTTGGTTGAAGGTAACTTTGAGGGTTAATGTTCGACGTGCCAGGTTGGTATGCAACTTGAAGAAAACGAGAGAGGGATGGGTGTTATAGGTCTAGCTGAGGCCGACTTTTTACAGCCAACGCACAACAAGCAGGTCTTGATAAGTCTTCCTCTCTTGACAACTGTTTTCCTCGTTTTTCAAAACGGACAAATCTGATTACCTGTTTCTCTTTCACATCTACTATATCGTCCATGATACTGGATTAGCCATTGTGACTCGATATCATGTCCTACTTCACCACACAAGTCTCCTTAGAGAAATGAACGTAACAGAGGTTTTTATTTTGCAATTTATGATTCTGTTATCTCCAACGTTGCGGCTACGTACGTTGTTATCGACCTAATTCAATAATCCTAGTCGTAATGATGTCCAAATTCATGTCGTGCGTGGTATGAAGAAGCAGTCAAATGAAAATTTACTCCTACATGTGGCAGGACTTTGACGACACCACTGCATACCGAAGACTCTTGAAGAAGCTATCAGATGTGTTGGCTGAATACTGGTGGGTCCTTTCTATAATATTCTAAGTATCTGATTTGCTTGTTTTGAAGATACAGTTTTTTGAAGTACTGTTGTGTCCTAATTGCTAATTTCCGGGAGTGAATGGTAAAACTTTTTTTGGGACTCCTTTGACTCTCGTCTCTTGTCCAATTTATTATGCTCTCGATGTAAAATCAACATTATTGGCTTCGTTCAATGCTTAGAGGCTTACTTTAGTCAGACAGATTTTGGATTCCCTCTATAAGTGGTATTCAATCAACGGAAATAAATTAAGCGTATCCAGCAGAATGTATATGCTACCGATTGCAAAGAAGTCTGTGTGGAGCACACGAAGATGTATGTTAGTATCCTTCTCTGTTTCTTATACCCAGCTTGTTCTTTTGTCACGTAGGTGGGAAAAGAAAGAGCGAGCAAATATTCTCCAAATGCAACCAGAGACCAGGAAACGAGGTCCGGCAGGATCCCACGCAGAGGATGTTCCGGATGTAAATTGGGTATGTCCTTTAAGAGCGTATACGATTTATCTGCTCTTTGAATAAATATGCTTGATTGGACAGTTCATAGTTTCAGTTTATTTTGGACTTTATCTGGATATTCAAATATTTGTTTGGCTACCCTCGCCTTCTGAACATGTTATCTTCTTTATCGTCCGTTATATCTGCTGATCTTTTTGCATATGATACTTGCTTATGTACGGGTGATTTGCAGGTTCAGTGTGATAATCCGACATGTCTGAAGTGGCGTGTATTGCCTCCCGGAACGGCCGTGGAAAAATTACCTGACATCTGGTGAGCAGTGTTTTTTTTCTTGTCTGTTGGACGAATTGGTCACAGCGGGACTCATAACTGCAGTTTACGAGGCCAAAAGTTTAGCTTGTCTTAGTTCAGTAGGAGTCAAAGATTCCAAGCGTGCATGAGACACTATGACCTTCTTAAGACATTTCTCATAATGGCCTGAACCAACTTCACGGAGGCACACAAGAACGATCTCCGTCATGGATTAGTCAAACTTGCTTTCGCATGAATTTTGAATGACAAATCAATTAATCGGGATAACGCTATACTTTTACCATCCGTGCGAAGTAGACGTATGCAGCTTCTTTCATCATCATTTTTAAATCGATCAAATGAAGCATTTGCATGAGTTGATGTCATTTCTGTCAGACTGTCCGTAAACGCACATCATCATGGGCGTTTCGAAGTTTTCTTGCTGGATGTCAACCACCACGAAGTTCCTTACTTTAGTATACAGTAACTCCCCTTCGACGTGACGAGTGTGTACATTATCCTCTCCTCAACACGTTATGTGGAAATTGTGACTAACTTTGGTTTTTATGAAATAACCGTTGTATTTACATAATCCAGGTACTGCGAGTATCATCCAGACCCAAAATTTCGCAGACATGAGGAGCCGGAGCAAGAATGGGATACCACCATTCAGCATGAGGTAATTAGCCTTTTCACGTAAGAATTACTGGGATGTGTAGAATGTGCAAGATTTTAGAATCTCCTGCTAAATTTGATTTTTGTAGATTGTTGAAAGGAGAAGGGAGCGGAAACGCGAATATGATAGGGAGAAAAAGGAACGGGAAGCGGAGAAAAAACGGCAGCGTCTGGTGAATCTCTTCATCTCTATCTTTATGTTTCATAGATGTTTTGGGTTTGCAGTAACAACACCTGTATGTTTTTAAATTACCCCCCGACTAAACATGCGCCGGTCCTAGGAATGTTTGCGAGTACATTCGGGATCACTTTCCTGGTACAACTTTCTGGTCTATCTCAATATCGACTATCTTTGGAGATATGGAGCTGAGAATTTTTCTATATCTCTATACTTGTAACTAATGAGAAACTTTCTTTTCTTCTCGACACGTTCTGGGTTCATATCTTTTAGCTCTATCGTTTGTATTCTCTTTGGGTCGGTTCGTATTATTTCCTCATTTGCCATCATCAGATTGTATGTTTTGGTTACACTGGCTGTCTTCGGCATACATCCATGACAGATAAACATAGCTCTGCGTGAAATGCATGTGAGAGTTGCGGGAAAGCTGTTCGTTATCTGTCACTTATTCAAATTCCTCATTTACCTGTTGTATTTTCTTGAATGTGTAGTCCTGATACTTGGTTATGTCTGAAGTAGTTGTAAAATGAAGTACTTGTGAGACGTAACGTGCAGAGCCCAACATTGGGTGCCCATAGCCATGCCCATGCCCAAACCCACCCATGCCCATGGGTTTTGGGTGGGTTTATTTTTCCATGGGTAGGCACAAGTAATGCTAAGGGCAGTGTTTGTCAAGATCCAACCAATAATTCGCGTAATTTGAATAGCATGGATGGGCACAGGTAATGCTATGGGTGGGTATGGGTGAGCTTAGGTAGCTGCTTATGGTCATGGTCTGGTCTGGGTGCAGATTTGAAGTAAAATTTGATTGTTGGCCTCTGGTAACGTGTATATTGAGATTTTAAATTGTAATCTTGAGCTCTGCAGGAAGCTGCTACACGGGACAGTGTTGCAGTGTTGGAAAAGCAAAAGGAAGAACTAGCCAAAGGTATTCAAGAGCAGCTTGAGCGAGAAAGAGAAGCTTTAGAGGTAAGATGATCTACTGGAGCGAAACATGTTATAATTCGTTCTAGTAAAACTGCATGTGTTGTTCTCGTTCCTATTTGTGAAACAAGTCATTTGTTTAGATGCTGAAACATCTTTGAGAGTGTGAATTTGCACATGCTACTTGTAAATCATGTGGTCGTCTCCTGAAATACGTTATCATGTGTGGAATGCTTCCCAGGAACAAAAACGGAGAGAAGAAGAAGTCAAGAAACTCAACGAGGTAGATCACATTTGTTGTGGCAGTTATTTCGATGATAATTTCTTACCATTCCTGCTTGTCAGTTTCTCTGAGAGAAGTTCAGTTTTGCGTTCTAATTGCCTGCGATAAAATCGGCTGTACCTTTTTCATTTTCCTTCGAAACGAGTGTGATGGATGTACACTCTGATTTAACCAGATGATTTCATTATTATGTTATCATTGGGTGCAGGAATGGGCTATAATCAAACAAGACTGTGCTCTAATGGAGTCGAGACGGGAAGAGATGTTGAAACAGCAAAAAGAATTAGAGGACCAATTAGCAGCTGCGCAAGAAGAACTTGCACGAAAGGCTAGAGAGAAAGAAGAGATTGCTATGGTTCAAGCTGCAAAGGACGCCGCAAAGCAAGCTGAAAAGGAGGCTGAATTGGCAGCTGAATTGGCAGCTGAAAAGGTAAATTCTTTCAGCTGTATAGCTTTGTTATGACTTCCAGGGAAGCGGGTCATTACTAAATCATTTGCATTCACATTTTCATCAGTTATATCTATGCATCTTCTATTCATCCTTCACTTGTTGGACTACTGCTCACTCGCTGATGTATTATGATGTCCAGGCACGGTTAGAGCAACAACTTCAGGTTCAAGTATTAGTTCCAGAAGAAAACGGTCACGTTGTGGAGACAACAATCGAAGAGACTACTACACCCAGTACAGGCAGAAAACCATCGAGAAGAGGGGCATCATTGAAAGAAAAGCGAGGAACTTCAAAGGGAGGTGCCCCAGTCCTCCCGCCTCCAACTGCCCCTATAGTGCCTGTGTCAACTCCAAGAGTGCCACATCCTCTTCCCGAACCAAATCAGATGGCTCAAACTTTGGAAGCAAATGGTAGCCACAAAGCGGACAGTTCCACCCTGCTTCGTGTTTCTTCCGGGTCTGGAAGTTCTATCGCGCAGAGACCGAAACATGTGCAGGTCAGTGCTTAGTACGTAAACAAAGTCAGTGTTGTCATATCTCATGGCGTTGAAATCTACGTTGCTATAAGTGGATCATGACAGTGCTTCTTTTTGCAGGTCCCGCTACCTCATCGCAAGTCTGCAGCTTCTTCCAAAGACGATACCATCGCCCGAGCTCCCTCTGGAACCGCTCAACAGGTGCAACGGAAGGTAAGTCTGAAGGTTCTTAACTGGTTTGAAACTACAACTTGTGTCTTATCATTTGTATTTACTACTTTAAGCACTGGTGTCTCAACCTGCTGTATTTGAAATTACCGAGAATCGTTCATTTTACAACTACCAGGGTTGTCGATTGCGAGATGTGGACCCCCTGCTTATTTGTCATGAGATATCCATTCGAGCTCTTAACCTAACAGGATGTTGTTGTCATATAACAGGGAACAAATTCAAATGTATCTACAGGGTCTAGAAGACAAGGAAGAACAGCTCACGCATCACAGGCACCACTGCTTGAATGGGGTCCTACTGGTGACTTGCCTAATCCAGTACAAAGAGAGGGAATGTCTAATGGTGCTACTCCTCTCTTAGCATCAGAAAATGCTCAATGCTTATCGCCAGAGCCTCAATATACTACTCAAGATAAATCTCCTGAAAACACCTGTTCAAGCCACCAGCAGACGCATGTTGAAGTCCATCCTTCCCGTGTAAATGAAAGATTGTCCGCACCTTCAGATGCAGCTCATCAAAGCACAGTAACACCAGATAGTCATGATAACGGATGTCGGATCTCGACTGGTGTACAAGTGGTGATCACAAATACGCTGGATGAAGCAGCTCAGCAAGTTGTAATTCCGCACGCAGATACTTCTGTAAGGTATAAACCTATTTATCGAACACATACATATTTTCATAATCTATACCCTGTAGAGTCGAGGCAATAAACGTAAAATGATTGTCCTAAATTCTGCTCAAATAATATCAGAAAATTACATTGAACATAACTTATTTCCTTCTCGATTACAGACCTAGAGACATCTACCTAGTTTCGATTCTTGAATGATCCTTGTATCATCTTAGACTTGATGGTGCTTTTGGCCTACGGCAGATCGGGTGGACAGGAAGGACAATTAGAAGACAACGTTTTAGAATCTGGGAGGCTTTGTATCGATCTGCCTATGGATTCCTCTATATTTAAGAGTGAATCTATGCGGTCTCTTGACAAAGAGTTCTTCTCTTCCCAAAGGTATAATCAAAACAGAGTAATTTTCTGCTTCAATTTTACGATATTTGTGAAATGTTGGCCTGTAATTGTATAGTTTCGTGTCACAATATTGTACTGACGAGCGATTGTGCTGAACACAGGCGTCTGAGACTCGCGCTTAACACTTTGACCAAAATTGGTGGATTGAATGATGGGAAGGTTTATGATTTGGATCTATTACCCATTACAGACGATGAAGTGGTACGGACCTAAACTTGAGTTGAACCTTTTCACATCTCGGTGTAGATTGCATGGGTGGGAGCTTAACATATTATATTTTTTTCCGATTGATTGTTGATAATGATTTTGGACGGGAAACATGGTCAACATTTCCTGGTTTGCATGAGTAGATTACTCCATTCGTAGAGAACTGGCACAATCCACGTTCATGGAGGAACTCTAAGTCTGTGCATGTCGCGTGATCGCAGATTGAAATATGTGAAAAGGTACGTACCAATAAGGTTAGAATTTTTTATGAAGTTCGTGTTTAGGTTTACCGTGTACGTTGGTCTCTATACCAAACTTTCGCCGAAACGAGGTCTTGATTGCGGCCACCTTTAGTAATTAAGGTTTTGTAAATTGAAGACTTTTAGAGTATATGTGGATGATGTAGCAAAGGCGCACTGCATCACCGATACACTATGTGAAGTGATATCATTCTTTCGTTATCTCAGATTGTCCTGGGCATTCAAATTTGATTTATTTCGAATTCGCAGACTCAGGAGAATGTCGAAGCAAAGCTCACAAAATACAGACAGGATGTGGCGAGTTTGAAAGCAGAGCTGGCGTACTTGATGGCTGATAAATACCAGGTAAGCAATAGGTTTCGACAAGCATATTTGTGGCTCTAGTTTATATCTATATTGAATGTGGCCATGCAGACTTTGTGTCAGTCCTATTTTGATCCAGAACAAATCATTTTGTAGCGTTTAGTTTCCTGTTTATTCTTAGTTAAGCTGTGAACAAATTAAGAAAGGGTTAGTACATCATGATGTAGAACTAACAAATACAATTTTTGAATCTTATTCCACCTGAGAAGTCTTATGCCAGCTCTGAACTTCAAGTGGTACCCTTAAACCCTACCTTGCCTGCTGGCGGGCAAGATACGATGAATTGTAGCGAGCCCTCATATAAGCGTGGCATGAGCAATTACTTTTTAAAAGAGCTATCGGTATCTTTGTTGTGTTGTGCTACACCCTCGATACAGTTTCCCGCCATTTTAAGTTCAACTAATAAGAGTGCTGTCACGATCTCTACCACTACAAGGTTCTAGAGGTGATACTTACCCAGTACATGTGTGTAGGACAGCACGGGCAAGGACAGAGCTGGAATTTCAAGATCCAAAGTGTTATCAATAAGTGGGGAGTGATGGAAGTTAGTAAGAAAACTTAGCTCGGCGTTTTCAAGAGTAGAGCAGCTGTTTTACATCATAAAATATTTTTTCCTTGCTGGATGGCGCTGAACTCCATCAAGGATTTTGGATTGAAGGCTTTTAGGACAGAAAGTACAAGAGCACAAATGGAATTAGGTACCAAACTGTGACGAACACGTGGTGACACAGGTTTTGCAAGTGGGTCCTGTAGGGTAGCTCTCAGACTCATATGTAAAGACCTGGGACAGCCTAATGACATAGCCCAGATCCTTGTTAGAAGTTAGTAGTTCCAACAAGGTATATGTGGTAGGAAGGTTGGTGTAAAGAGTAGTAAATTAAGGAAGAGCTGGAGCTTTTGGATCAGTAGCGCAATTAGAAATTGGGATCTGCAGAAGTTTCTGCCAGATAGTTAGCTCGCAGTCTCATTAGCATGTAAAGAGGTGAGGCAGGCTACTCAGGCTACTCACTTAGTATTGAATTTTTGTTGGATGGTGGCGACCTCCAACGAGGCATGCGGAAGAAACGATGTAGGAAGGTGTAGGAAGGTGTAGGAAGGAAGGTAGGCTTCCACATACACTCCCTCCTTTGTACTGAAGGAGGTGTTACTGTAGATAAAGATGAAGGTTAGGAGTTGTACAATATAACTATTTGAACCGAAGACCTTCGGGTGTTTTTCTCTTGAAGTTTCGTGATGCTGGATATACCCTGTCAAACTCTTTTGCTGTACTTATCAGGTCCAGATAGCAAGTAAATGATTTGACCATATTGGAGCTCGGAATTCTGCCCCTACTTGACTCACGGCCCAGACTTGCCACTGCAAAAAAGTTTGTGATATATGCCGATCTTATCACCTTCTTTCTCCTGACATATCTTCGTAGATGAATAATTATGAATCCTCATTAATAAGGAATTATCATGAATAAAGAATGATAACTCATGAATGAATCATCATAGATAAATAAAAGGCGATAAACAAAAATGTATCTCTTCTTTTGTTGGCCTTGCGTCAAACTTTCATGTGTAGTCATAAAACACGTAAGTAGCATGAGAAAAGTCTAAGATCTGATATTGAGGGCCGTATGAAGCAGGTCGATAGATTACAGGAGAGAAGCCGAATTTGGTACAAGGTAAAGAGGACCTACACCGGGGATGTGCGTATGAAAAATATGCGACACATATTTGTTTTGAAGACCAAATAGTCTTGGATGAAGCAGGGTGCTTCTACCAACTCACCTGGTACCTTTTGGTGACCTTGGCCAGGTCATCTGGCTGTAGTGGCATGTAGTATCAAAGAACTTTGTGATGAAGCTATAATAACATTACGATAGTAACAGGTTTGATGGGTGAACATAAACAATTTGTCCACAGTCAGAAATACAAAGAGTTGGTTGGGTCAAATGCATGCTTATCTTATTGACATAGACATGGCTGTGTAAATTTTTCTACCTTGAACTGTTTTTTCAAATAATGATATGCATTATTATTATAATTGGGCTATGTGTTTCGTACTGAGTTCTCAGTCCTGAAGAATTAGTAAATTACACACTTGTTCATTCGCAAGATTTTTTAAAATATCTTTATTTAGTTATATATATTCCTGAAAAAATGTGAATAATTTGGTGTTTAGATGAGAACTTTTACTCTTTGAGCGTGTACATTAGTCTACTAAATATCAATATATTGAGACTCGGTAGAATAAAATTATAAGCTTGAACTAGGGGAAACTGAATAAATTTTTTTTTTTTAAAAATACACATACGGAAGACAAATAGAAGAAATGCACTTTATATTTTAGAATCAAGTATAAATTCAATCCACAACAATTTCTCAATTATATGTAATTAGAATTGAATATAAGATATGATCGGTAAATTCTATCTCATTGACAATCGTTGTATTGTCTGTATTTTGCAAAACGCTGGCCCTCTCTCCTCGTAATTGGAATCGGGTTTCCATCTCATCATCCCGGAGCGTAACCTGTCCCCAACTTGCTGCCGTAATCCGGAAATGGCGCAGAATGGCTTCAGGTGAGTTTGTAGCCTCCGGTATGTTCCTTTGAACGATAAAATTCGATAAATCGATAAAATTCAATGTATATGGTTTAAGATATCTCTTGCTTTGTGGGTAGTAGCTGACTGAAGACTAATCGAATTGAAGCGTTCAACGAAATACGTGAATGAAGCCCTTTACAACATAATACCTTTAGTGAAGAACAAAAAAGTCTTTTTTTGTTGCCAAAAAGAAGCAAACCTATAGCAACCTATAGGTGTCACCGGAATTAGGCCCTAGAAAATGACTGTCCAGATTAAAATAATCCAAAGGAAATCTTGAATTTCCTTTGCGTTATTTCAAACTTTAAGGAGACGCAAGCAGATCTGAGCCTCTACCTACAGAGCAAGCATTTTATTCTACTTGAGATCTCTCTAGACACTTGAAGCGCAATACAACGCTTGACATGCAGTTCCAAACGGACTTGGTATGCCATAGAAGTATCTTTAACATCCTTAACATTGTTGTCTAGTAATTGATTAATTCTTAGACAAGATATTCAGTTGTTTGTAAAGATCAGTCTTACGAAGCAAATCTAACAATTTGGGTAAAGAGTAAAGATTCGGTCATAAAATTTCTCCTACTGAATTATCCAACCACCACGTAGTTTTGGTTGGTGGGATTTATAAATCCCACAAATAACTACTAGAAATGGTTCCCTCCTTTTCGTATTTGTGACTGGCACGGCAATGCTCATGTATAACATGTATTTATAACATAAGGTTCCAGTCAGGAACATGACTCAACAAATCTAATATTTAAGTTTTGACTTTGCTCTATCTAGAGACTCGTCTGAAGCTTTCAACAACCAGTTTGTACCAGTGACACAGCTGACCTTCCATTCCAAAACATAGTTCCTACCAAAACCTTGAACCAATATTGGGTGGGATCAGACTTTAAATTAACCCTGTTGCTCTTTGTGCCCTTTGGCGGGTGGTTGGCTTTCCATCCGACATTTGTAGTTCCACTATCCAACAGATGTAGCAAGGTCAATGAGCCGTGTAGGTAAGATCCATGACAAATTCAAGGTGAAGAAAGCTGCTCTCTGATGAATATGAACGAATCCTCACCGTGGTTTCAGGTACAGGAGTCTGAACATCTTTATAACATATGAATACTGCTATGAGGCAGTAGGACGAACTCGCCTGTTGCAGGTTATAAAGCTGACCAAAGAACTGAAGCACAGCTATCTTCACTATACAGATATATTGGACATATGATTAACAGTAGAGTTCTTGGCTTTAAGACCTTGGTTTTAAGACTTTAGCTTTCTATTATCACCTTAATAACTTAACATTAGCATTGTGTAAGCAATGGCTTCTGGTCACTTTTACCTCTTTAGCCTTTGTCCCGTTTATGTAGCACTTGAAGCTAGGGATTCACTTGTTTATATACTTCCTACAGATCGCGAAGACATAATTATTTCAACTCACATGACAAGACATGATGCAGAGATGCAGGCATGCATCGCTTTGTGCACACATTTTCTACTGTTAAGCATCACTAAAATTTGCGGCTGGAGAGCATCTTTAGGACAATTCCTACCATAAAATCGAATATTTATGAAATCACAAAACCGTGAATACCGTTTCACGCTAAATGAAATCACATCATTTCAATCCGTGAAATGATGATGTCCTTCGAATACGTTATTGATGGTGACGAGCCGAGATTTGGGGACTGGAGGTGCATATCTCTTAGGTACATTTTGGAGAGGGAGCCCCATGTGTGATTGACTGACCAAATTTTGGTCAGTCAATCACACATGGGGTAAATTCGACTGGACCTCACCAGTCGAATTTCAATCGTCAGGACAATTTATATCAAATTCACTGATCTTCGGCAGTGATAAGAGCATACTCAAAAGATTATGATTGCTGACAGAATGCACTGCATTGCATATAATCCAAAAAGGTCCATTGAAATCTTCTTCAGCATTTGGCAGGTGTTACTTTCATTGGTTAAAAGGTGTATCCATAAGGAGGTGAGTACGGTCCTTCTAGCATAGAGTTGACAGCTTCCACTTTACTCCTATTATTTTCAAGATGAGAAGAACACACATGATGTGCCGCACTTCAGAACTCAACGATTGGCATCCTGACGAAGTTTGAAGATTTACATCGACGACTGACAAACTGTCGACGATCTACTGTTCTCTATGTTCTGAAATATCGTCGACACTCACGGATGCACATTCATGAGAACTACTTGAACTCAGAGATCAGCTGAAAGTAGATGAACTGCATTTGAAAAATCTGATTAAGTTGTTCCAAAGGGAAAATAGGCGGTATGGATACTCAATAGATTAAGCATTCCCTGCTGAAGATTGATCTTGTCTGGATTCATGAGAGGATAAAGGACGTGGTAAAAAAGGCGAGGACGAGACACTTCCCTTCGTAAGTACACCTAGGCCAGCACCGCATTCGTGCACTGAGTCATTTATTTTTTCATGATATTGCTTTCGGAACCATTCAAAACTCATAAACGTGACGGCTGATGCAGGCACAAACCACACCACTCTTGGAACAACTCCTCGGAAAAACCCATGGATGTTCTCCTCCTTCCATATTGTCTTAGCAGCATCTGTCCAGCCCTTGTACCTGAAATGCAGGCAAGAGATCTAATCAAATAAAATCAACTTCATGACTCAAAGTTAATGTATGCTACAACAGCTCAGCGCACTGCAAGTCACTTTTAAGATAACACTGTCAGAGCCCAAAGTTCACGAGATTCTTCAAAGTTTAGTTCATAGAAAGAAGCCACATCCTTATTTCTATAAAGAAGGGTATGGCTTCCCGTATGTGGCCAAAGTGACTGGCCATACATTCTGAACTTTTTCATAGAGTAATCTTCGATCTGAGTGAATGTGCACCGTTGAGGTGTCCCCAAGGTTATCGTGAAATCATGTGGATATATTGATGTGAAAAAACGCTGGAAAAGAGAACAAATCGTAGGTCGTCAATCCCAATGTACACACTGGGACTGACAAGATTAAAGAAGTTTGAACTCACCGATGAGTTGAACCTTGCACCTGAAGTCGAGTTTTGATTACATCCAAAGGGGTGGTTAAAAAAGCACTGACGCCTGCACAATTAGCACCAAAGACAACTTTCATTGACGTGCTAAAGAGTCAAGTCTCATCTACGGTTTACGATAGTTACTCTAACATGGAACATAGAAAGTGTCGCTGATTGTGCATACCTCCGGCTATGCCCCCCATGACTAGCTCCTCCAATGAGCTGAACTTGCGAGCAGTAATGTTGATTTCAGTCAGAAATTTCTTTTCATGACTGTACTCCAAAGCCTCCCTAAACCCTTCATAGAACATAATCTGTCAAAGTTTACCCAAATCTATTTCAGGTTAACCATGTCAACACCAAAGTTTCTGCTCCGAACATAAGCTTCACCCATTCATAGATTAGCAGTTTAACACCGTATGGATTCACATGAACTCCTAAGACTGCTTGACCAAATAGCAAAATGAGCGTCTAGAAAGTGGACATAGATAAGTCAAATCATGTGAAGTTCAACTTCATGAGGTTTATCATCGATCCAAACTAGTTACAGAAAGACATGTACCATGAAAGATGTACATTGGACAGGCATGACTGTAGATTCAAACACAAACAATATACTGATATTACCTGCAAACCAGCAAAAGGAACATCTCTTGCGAGAGTCGAGAAATATCTGCCATTGAAATTACAACATCCACAACCAACCGTCAATACATACTCCATTACTCTGTACAGTCTATACACTGAAATCATAAGCAAAACCAGTGCTTGTCACTCTCCATCACATCTATCAGTCACAGTTTTGTATGTCTCACACATACCCTGAATAGAGACCAGCGAATCCCTCTTTTAGCAGAATACTCCTCCCGGCTTGATACACTCCTGTGTAGTACATATAACTCGCCAGACCCGAACTTGAAGATTTATTGATCTTAGCCATAGTGGCGCTCCAAGATTGACAACTTCCTTGGAGCTGCATTCTCTGCTTGATGACTTCACAAGGAACATACACCACTGAACCCAATCCCTCGCCTGCACATCATTGATAAGGAAAGATTCTTGAGTAAAACTCAAGATAGATAACAAGAAGCAAGTTAGAACCTGAGAGCAACCACAACTTATCTTGCTTCCTTTGGACATAAGCGACATCGTGGGTGTATCCAATCCACAAAATCTGGAAGAAGTGGCTCTTTAGATATATTGGATGATAAAGAGCAAAACTCACCGATAGCACCAGCCAAAAAGTGGGCCCATGGACCAGTTAAAGATGGTTTGCTGTACTCGAGCCAGTCTTTTGTAGTTTCTATGAATCCAAAATAGGTCGCTCCTGTGACCAGAGAACCGATGAAGCTTGGCACCACTCCTCGGTAGAAGCCTGGCCAAAGTATGTTGCCAATGTTTGTTAGTCCGATATGAGAGGATGATACTAGTGTATTCTGCAGGAAAATTAAAACGCTCGGGGGGAAGGGGGTGCTGTTTTTTTGAAGACAACGAGACTCAATGAAATGAAAGGATCACTAAAGAAAGTCATGTGAGAGGACGATGTTCTAAGATTGGAGATTTATCACAAGGTATGGGCTAAGAACACTACCAAGTTCACACACCTCTCACACCATCAACACTCCATATAAATCTGAGCGCTTGTCCAACCTCGTTGTGACCCTGAGCGATGACAAAAATCAAGAAGTTCGTCAAGCCCCCTCAGTTTGTCTGTTTCTTACTCGCATGAACTTTGGAACTTTTTTCAGGTGTAATTAGGTTATGAGACGTTTGAAGTAGAGAAACGCAGCAATATAAGGAATAGCCAACACGGTAAGAAAATTTGCCAACCTTTAGGCTTACTATGAACAATTTGAAGCAGATGCCACAAAGAAAGACATCATAATAAGTCCACCGAATTTCTCAATGCTTACTTGATGAGCGACTATGAACTGACCCCCGCTTTGAATTCTGGTCTTAAGAGTGTCAACCGGGTGCATCAACGTCTCCCCAAAAGCGCCTGCAAATCCACCCCACACATATTCTCGCCAGCCTGCTCTCCAGCCTACGTATGCCCACATAGGCCAACACACAATTTGTTGCTTAGATTTGATGAAATGAATTGTAAAATTGATGTTTATACAATACTTAGATCACCATGTAAAAGAGAATTCAAAACTAGAAGGTGAATCATGAAATCCCGAAGACCGATCCGCAATCTACTTCGTCTAGATGCAAATTCAGTTCATAACGCAATCGCCTTCAGTTATACCACTTTGAATTCTATAAGAGATTCAAATTGAAACCTAAACAGTTATGGAGAGAATAACATGGATAGAAAAAAACGAGATCGTCGTGCAGCAAAGGAGAGCAGCAGAGCAGAACTATTCTCATAATTGCAGCATTATGAGAATAGTTCTGCTCTATATCCCTGCATCTGCAAAACCTACTCTGTTCTCTCGATATTCATTTGTACTTTTCACAAAATGTTGCCTGAAAGTCAGCTGACTACGCTATACTAGAAGTCAACAACAAAACTGTTCTACGAGATTTTCACTCGCAACCTCCAATTTGAGAAAAAATCTGCTCTATACTCACTGAAGCATCAAAAACGATACTGTTTCTCCTGACACTTTTTTCTACATTTCCATGATGTGCTATACAGGTATTAAGCTGGAGCACTTGTAGAATTCAACGGTGAAATTCCCAGCTCGAAAGGTGTGAAGTCTTTACTGGCAACATCTTCCATCGATGATTCGATGATGTAGCGAGAGGAATCGTATCAGCCAGCCTTGTCACGAATGCAGACCTTGCTGGACACGACACAGTGCCTCAATTGCCCGGTATAACAACGGAAGGTACCGCAACTCTCCTCATGACATCCAATTATAGCTCACTGACAAGCAAACACTCTGTGAGGACTCAAACCGATGAGGTTACAGATTCTCCATCGCATTAGAGAAATCATCAACTGATGATGTTTCTTCTTCATAATTCAACCAATCCACCCAACAGAACGAGAAACCCTGGGCCTGGATGCCTCAGCAACAGAATCGCTTGACAACATTGTCGGCTACCTCTCGAAACGCCTCTCGACAGGACGAAACGCACATACGTCGAAAGATGGTCAAAGCAACGGCAGTGCACCACTGTGCTCTTATAGCGCTGACACAGCAATGGCTAAGGATTCCATCAAATCCCACCTCATGGCACACACCACACCAAACCAAAACAGAACTCAGCAACAAGGGAAAAGAGAGTACTCAACCCGACAACCCTTCACCACATGGCACCACATTGTCTCGCACCTAAACCATGGGCCAACTACAGTTCCCATCTCCATCTCTCGTCTTCACTCAGGCCCCCTTCCCTCCGGCGACATATTACATACCCCAGGACCCAATCCAAACTACTGTAAACTCTTCACAAGTGTTTTGCAAGTGTTTGCAAGCATGACATAACTCCTCTGACATGGGCCCACACCATGACAAAGATGCTGCCCTGCCCCCTACTCCCTCTATTTCTGTACCTGGCTCTTCGGATCCTGCAGCGCAGGTTCGCAAATTGCATTTCAATGATTGCTTTTTCCACTTGAAATTTCGAATTGCATTTTCCATATTTGTAACTTGTAAAACCTTCAACGCTGGTGTGGGGTATGTCCTGCCAATTCTGGCGGCGTTGGCATGTGTCAAGCTCTGCCGGAGTGTTGTGGATATTTGATACTTGGTGCGTTGTGGTCTTCTCGTTGGGTGCGCTTCGACCCTAAACCCTTTCCTCCCTTTCCTCCCTTTGCTCCTGTGGTGAGTCCAGTTGGTCCTCGGTCGGAGCTCAGCACAATTCTCGGATTTCGGCAGAGAACATGAGTCTGGAATTTGCTCTCTGGGACGAGGAAGTGCGCTGGAGGTTTTAGGTTGAGGAGCGAGGAGCGAGGAGCGAGGAGCGAAGAGCTGAAAGATTTGTGGGCTTTGGAGAGAGGAGTGGGAAGATGGGTGCCAAGGAGAGTGAGGGCGGTCCTCCGACTGGAACGATGGCTGGAATTTCAACTGGCTCGGGGCAGACGATGGTGGTGAAGAGCTCGACCACCGGGCCGAAGCGATTTGTACGCCAGCAGGTGCCGGATTCTATCTTGAATGATCCAGCTCTCAAGAAGGCGATGGCTGTGCTTCCCTCGAATTACAACTTGGAAATCCCCAAGACGATATGGAGGCTGAAGCAGGCAGGATCGAAGAAAGTCGCGCTGCAGTTTCCGGAGGGACTGCTCTTGTACTCGCTGACGATCTGCGACATTCTGGAAGCATTTGCAGGGATCGAAGAGTGCTTTGTTCTGGGCGATGTGACTTACGGCGCCTGCTGCGTGGACGACTTCTCGGCCACTGCGTTGGGAGCGGACTTCCTCGTGCACTACGGGCACAGCTGCCTCGTGCCCATCGACATGTCTCTCATTCCCTGTCTCTACGTCTTCGTCGACATTCAAATCGACGTCCAACACTTGTTGGACACGGTGAAGAAGAATTTCGATCCGAGCACCAAGATTGCAGTCGCAGGCACAATCCAATTCTTCACGGCCATTCAAGCGGTCTTAGGTCTTCTCAAGAAGGAGAACTACGTCGTCAATACGCCTCAATCCAAGCCCCTTTCGCCCGGAGAAGTGCTGGGATGCACCTCGCCAGCCCTGCCCTCGGGGCTGGTGGATTGTCTCGTCTTCGTGGCCGATGGACGCTTCCATCTCGAAGCATTCATGATCGCCAATCCGAAAGTGAAAGCCTATCGCTACGACCCTTACTCCAAGGTGATGACGCTCGAAGAGTACGACCACCAGGGCATGCGAGAGGCTCGCATGAATGCCATCAAGCGAGCGCAGCGAGCCAAGACTTGGGGAGTGGTGCTGGGCACTCTGGGGAGGCAGGGCAATCCGAGAATTCTGACCCACGTCGAACAGCGCCTCGCCGCCAGAGGATTGAGCTACACAGTCTTTCTCATCTCTGAGCTCTCCCCAACGAAGTTGGCCCTCTTCTCCGATTCTGTGGATGCATGGATTCAGATTGCCTGTCCCCGACTGTCCATCGACTGGGGCGAGGCTTTCAAGCAGCCCCTCCTCACACCCTACGAGGCGGAAGTTGCTCTGGGATTTGTCCAGCCGTGGTGGAGGATTAGCCAAGGTTTGCAAGGCAATGGAGCCAGTGACGCCATTCAGGACGATGCTATCATCGGCCGGACGTGCAAAATTGGCTCCGAATGTTGTGGCCCTGTGGCTCGTAATGCATCATCGGAGTGCTCCGCTGTGGAAACCAATTCTTGTTGTCAAAAGCAGGCACCTGCTGCTGCTGCAGTGATGGGAGGAGAGGAAAATGGAGATTGCAAGGCAGAGGAAAAAGAAGACCCCATGCTGGGGTCCTATCCGATGGATTATTATGCTCAAGACGGAGGTCCTTGGAAATCATGTTATGTCAAACCTCCAGTTAGGCGGGCAACACCTCGAACTGTGGGTGTGGTTTCCACGTAAATCCCCTCTCTCAAGCGAGCCTCGTGTGGAGGCTGTTCACAGACACGAGACCTTGCCAGTAAAAAGCTCGGGCTTTTTTCCGCCAAGGAAATTTCAATTTGCTGTGCCGAGGGCACACATTCACAGATTGTGGAGTCTGCAGAAGATGAAGAACCGGAAGCATCATCATGAACACTGCTAGAAAACGAGGGGCACAACGATGCACAGGCCTAGATTCGACTGTGTTCCTCGAGACAACGAAGCAAAGTCAATATTTCCCGAATTTCAAAGGCCGGTTCATTTTTTGGGGAAATCTCTGGAGCATGGGAGTACGTTGGAGTAGCTTTTGAGGGGAGCACTGACTGGAGCATTCAGTTTAGCTACTGCTCCAGAAGCTGCCCTGCCTGAAACCATTACTCCTGGACTTGGGTCGATGCGGCGTTTTGGAATTATATTCCTAGTAAAGAAGCGGTTGATGGCATCTGATATTTCGGGATTCGGGGTCTCGGCCCCATGACTTACTTCTTATTGATATAAAGAGATTCATATGACGTACAGAGCATGTGCAGGCTGGTTGCAATACTGATTCATCAGGGTTCTGGTCTTCGAAGTCTGATACATGTTCCATCAGTGTTGTGGGATGCGAGCTTGTTAAAGTCGCATAGAGATCATTACTATCCTTTGGAGTGGAAGAAGCAGATGGTTGAATCAGATGGAGACAAATATGTTGGAAATAATGTCTGACCTCAAGAAGTACAGCAAAATGCTGAACATAGATGCAGGGCAGCAATTGCTCCATCGTGGCTGTATGTGCGCAGTTTAATCGTGCCTCATACCATCTCGGCATCATTGCTTCTCCATAAGGGCGAAAGGAACCCTGGCAGCGGCATCTACCTACCCGTCCGTGGCAGCTCACTCGTGCTTGCATCAGAACTAGAGATAAGTTCACGATGCAGATTGTGCTTTGCAATTTAGAGTACTGACGACCACAATCTGACTACATGCCACTTGAAAGGAGCAAGCTGCAGCGAGTGGGAAAAGGATCGATGAAATATCAACCTGAGTTGTTAGATCTGGATCTGCGCTTTGAGAATCAGCTCCTGCACGTGTACGTAGGAAACTGATTCTCAACAAACGGAAAGAGGTGCTGTAGACTGCGGTTTAGTGTGCAGTAGGCGGAACAGCTGGCCATCAGTTGTTATGTCAGTGAAGCATTGAGGGCTGACATTCTGCTGGGTGTCGAGCGGTGATTGAAGAGAACCATGTGAGGGCATGGATCAATTTCACACTGTACATGTTTGTACAAGTTCGATTTTTATGAATGCCTGGGCTATCAAATGGTTGTAAGCCTTTTATTCACTGTTCGAAATTTGCTCCGGCAGCTCGAGATCCACTCTCCAATTTGGTGTCCTGTTAAATCCCACTAGGCAATGCAAGTTGCGGTTTTGTCTCATAAATGAGGAAGATGATTTACGGCAAATTTGTTAGCTTTGATGTCTCAAATGCATGAAACTCTTGTATGTGCGTACCATATAAATATATCAGTGTACATAATCAAAGGATCTGCTTAGTGCTGTCCGTGAGACTATCACCTGCTTCCAGTTTCTCAGTGTATTGGTCATCCAATTCCAGATCTGCATGATACTTTCTTTTCTTCATGTCAGGATCCTCTGCTGGACGATCTTTCCCATCATTCCGAGGACGTGAAGAGGCCTTTTGACAGGCTTTGGAGAACAGGCAACATCGTTTGCGAGCGATTTTGATTTGTCATCGATCCATGTACTGTGTTGTGGGACGTGAGAGATGTTTTGTACTGACCATGCTGACCTAACTTTGGTTGAATCCATAGGCGAGTTTACATTGTGCATGTAATGCACACTGAAACAAACCTGCATATTGTTTGAGGTATGATGTCAGTATGCTTTGCAAGCCGGTGTATACATACGGGGCATACCTCCCTGTACGACACTTCGAGGTCCTTTTGCACGAGAAAGTTCTCTTCTTTTACATTATGCTACTGTATGAAAGGACGGATTGCCTCAAACTATCACGAGGAATTTACCACATACGGTTGAATTTACGAATACTTACGAGTACTTGGTCTTTTCTTTTAGTTAACACAGTACCTTATACAGCATTGTTCTAATCCAAACCAGTTTCGTAGAGGTTGGATGTTGGAGTCGTGAATGGTCACTTTAAAAATATGGGTTAGAGATATGTGCATTACAAAGCTGGGGAATACGTTTCCCAGTCATAAGTTGTGTCACTGCGATTTGTTGCGGCATCTGATCCAGTTGTAATAGTATATCTCTTAGTGGCACGGACTTCATCTATTTGAATAGATAAAGTGAAGCTTCTGGGGTAAACAATATGAGCAGACGTAGGAGAGAAGCTTGTTTGTCTCCCTCGCAACTATTACCTAATTCTAATTCACCCACAAAACCCATAAATCTCCATCTGTAGTGAACTAGAAAACGATATTGAAGTTCCCTAATGACTCACCACCGAAATATCAATCTGTTACTAACTCGGCGTCGAGTCAACTTCTGCCAATAAAAAATGTTGCATCTTATGTGTACATAGAGGCACAAATACGAATGGGCATACTAACCTACAGGTTAAGACATAACATTAGGTTGAGGGCATGTTTTACAATGGCAGGGTCCTGTAGTCGGTGAATTCGCCTTCAGATTTTTGAGATGGCATCTCAGAACTGAAAAACGACTCGTGCTTTTCGTCTCACTGCCATTGAGTGCCAACTCCGAGTCGGGTAACAAAACCCCACTCCCCATCCACTGTAACAGGGGGGACATTCACTGCACTGCGACTAGCTATGTATTCATGACTTCATTGTAGTAACATGCACTGTTAGACGGTCGTTCCAGCAAACAGATGTCTCTGACAACAAATATCCGGGAGTTTGATGGTTTTCGCAACAGGAAAGCCTTCAAATTTCAGGATCGCAGCAATTGAAGTTTCTCGTAGAACTCCCGTGGGAGCTATTTACAAACTGTGATGGTTTTGAAATTTGCCACCACTTCAAGAATATAAATGACCTTCTTCTATACCGAAGTGAACCAGTTTGAGTATGCCGGCCTCAAGACCAATCTCTATTACCTACTTCATCTTCAAATCGGATCCGTAACAGTAATCTGATACTTAAGTCTTACTGCAGAGTGGCGTAAGGTCGTTCAGATTGATGCCAATGTCCCCCGTACAATTCAAGAGCTCAGTCCCCGGAAGATGGACATCCCAAAGGATACTTGTGAACTACAAGTCTCCCTTTCAACGCCAAGGCAAGAAGATCAAGTTCCTCAACGTACCACAAGTCTTCGATCTTTGCCTGAAAGCCAGACAGCTTTTCATTGATTTGTCGAATGAGTGATTTCATGAAAAACAATGCTTCTCCTTTTGTACTACTCCCACCGTGGGATGGCGAGGACTTAGGGGGACCCAGAATCCGAGCTATTGACGTGTGCAGTATCACTGGATCGTAGAGTTGTTTGTTTGGTGCGTGTACCAGGGCGTGCCTCAATTCTTTTCGGATGATTGCAGGATCTGTGCCATTCAGCACCTGCCAACATCCTAACAACACTCCAGTTGGCGTCAACAAAACCCTATCAAGAACTATCTCAAGAGGGCAGCTTCTGGCAGCCACTTGCTTCACAGCTTCTTCCTCTGCTTGCATCTCTTTCTCGGTCGCAGGTACAGCCTCCAAATGATGCGATGCATGAAAAAGGCTGAAGTGGTAAAAAGAGACATCCTGGTACCAAATTGCTCCGGCAAAATGAGGGTTCAATATTTTCTTCGCTGCCTCCGAAATCTGCAAGGCATAGTGTCCATTGAGGTGGAGAACGGTGGCTCGTACTGGCGGGTTCGCGGGCTTCTGCACAGGGATGACTATGCCGTCCTCTACGGTAAACAAATCTGCGAGGTTCAGCGACTGCGATGTTTCGCCTCCATCCAGAAATGCTGCACCCTTTGTGTCCAAATCGGCTCCCATCCGATCGTACAATGCAGCTCTCTTTCTACCACCATTGAAACCTACACTCCCAGCTTCTTCATATCCACCGAGACTGCCCATAATCTCTAACCTATTCAATGCAGCTGCCGAAACCTCGAGAACAATCAGCACGGAGAATGCGAGAAGCACGACTTTCACAATCGTCCTCGTCCCCTTTCCTCGCAATTCCTTCTTAAAGTCATCGTCATCGGTGGGTCTCCGCCTTGTTCCTACGGACGACCGCATTCCTCAAATCAAGCGATCGAATTGACTCTTTGCTCGCAGAGACAATCACTGCCCGTACATCTGCTTCCAAACACGTAGAAGCCGGTGGTGCCCTCCACAGCGCCAGCTTCATGAACATGCTCCGATTCAGCAATTGCCGATTTCCGACTCCCACGACGACAGAGCTCCAATTGAGGCCACCGAATCCTCCGACGCTGCAACTCGCCGCCTTCGATTCGGGACGCAGAAATCGGACGATCGCTTCCGAATCGAAAGCTCCGCCCGCCGCCCGAGTGTTCGACGGGCGTTCTCAAGAACGGAAGCCGGAGCCGCATACGACCATCGCCGCGCCGGTCGCATGTTTAGCCGGCGGGCCCGCTCCTCTCTCTCTCTGGGGAGACATTCATCCCAAGATTTTTATCTAAAATAATTTCGGATTAATTAGAAAATGATTTGAACAATGCATTTGATCAATTGTATTAAATTATGAATATTTAATAAATATAGAACATTGAAGTAACAAATAGTTTATGCTTCTAAGAATTCATCGTCTCCGTCGGATTTAACTGTGCTATCAAAACCAGACTCATTAATTATGGTTGGATGGTTCGTACTAATCAACAACAACTTGAAAAAAATTAAAAACTAGTTAAAATTTAAAATTCGATTTCATGTCAATAAATCATTACAGGTCTCTAAAAAAAACTTTTTAAATCTAATGGTGCCAGCCCTTCTTCGTCGACTCCTCTGGTTTGACGCATCGATGATAATCCGCCAGTCGTCGAGAAAACATTGCTCATTAAATGGCGCACACTGAACATTCGAGTTTAGAAGTTTTCATTAAAAAATAAAAATACTCGTACTGAGATGGTAAAGGTACCTCGCAATCACAAAATATTTAATAGGTTTCATGTGGAGAAGAACACCGCCGAGCGGATCGTATTATTATGTGTTACAATTTGTTATTTGTTTGGCATACATGAATGAATCATGCAATTATTTTTCCCTCATTTTGTAGTTATCATGGTATTGCAGGTCCTAAGTGTTTTAGAGTATCTTGCCGCGGTCCCCTCAGTTGGTTGTGTATACAGCGGGACGATTTTGATTCTATAAACGGAAGAGGGTGAGAAATTGCGAGGAGCATGAAGGTGTTCCAAGTAAAAAAAGATTGGACGACGGCTTCGGACGTTGGAGTCCGGAAAATGAGAAACTTGCGGCAGACTTCAAAGTTTGCCTTGACGCAAAGTTGCTCATTTTGTGCCACATACGGTGCATGCTGCTGGAGTATTCAAATAAAGGGGATGTGTTGCACTATAATTCTAATTTCACTCTCGATGTTCCTTTGTGGGGAACACTGAAGTTATGGAAAGATTGAAACAAGCTATGGGAAAGACAATAACCAGTAGGGAAATTTTTTGGTTCACTTGTTTTGTTTTGAAGTCTAACTTCAGGTAATTATTGAATGATTGTTGTACAAGAGGTTTGACAAAAGCTCGCTATGATAAAATTACAGTATTTATTAGAGTCATTTTTTGCTTCATTGGATATAGATTCAATGTTTTGAATATGTTGGAAGCTTGGACTTTCATCAAATCTAGATTTTATCTCGTCAATTTTTTTTCATATTATTTCAAATTAAATTAAAAAAAATATAAAATCCCATATATCTAATGTAACATAGTAATTTCATGTTTAGTTATTTATAGTTCTGCATAGTAATACATTATGTTCAATACAATATCACGATGTTTTCCTTTGGATCGCAATCTCTGGGTTCATTCTCACTTAGGCTTCCCTCAGATGACTTTGCGGTTATTCATCATAGTTCTAGAAAATTAAAATTATTCCTCATAATCATGTACCAAACACACTCTCACAAATTTATTCAATTCATCGTTCAAATTAACTCACATATCGACACTCCAAGATGTTGAAAATTATCATTCTTTCATATATGAAACAAGTCTTTACATGACTTTTCCAAACTTGCTTGAGAGTCTTTTACTTAACTCTCTATTTATAATACTTGAAAATTTACCATAATAATAAATGGTAATTCTTATCTAACTTACTTTTACAAAGATAAGCCATAGTAAGTTTGACTTGTTATTAATATGTGGCAACATGTCATTGGATTCCTAAACCTTCTAGGTGTTTACTAATCTATAATTTGAGGTGGCGACTTGTCATTTGTGACTTTCCAACTTCTAGAACCTTCACTTATCATTAAGTCGTAAGTCGTTTTCCTCTAATGCGCCTATAGAGAATTATGAAGCCATTGATTGGTCTCCACATCAATTGAAAAGAGAAACGATGGTTGACACAATTCCTACGTGCTTATAGAAATTTTTTTCACTTCGACATGAAGTAGTTGGGTGCTTTGATTTGACTATATATACGGATAGAGTTGGCTAGTGATACGCCAGTCTTTATGTCGTCTCTATAAGTATAGTGATATAAAGAGCAAATTGATTTGGAGTATGACGTTGGACCTACTCGAGACTAGGATGCTGGAGTTGTCGCATGGTGAGTTTGCGTCAGTCACTGTCATGTCAGTGAAGAAGTATGTACATGACAACTCAACAGATAGACAAATGTATGGGGACTACCGTACTATCAATTGGCAGATAAAGTCCGATATGTATGTCATGCCTACACTTGAGTAAATCTTTGATGTGGTGGGACATGCAAGGATGTTCAGTACTTTAGATCTTCGGACATGATATCATCAGTTGCCGATTCGAAAGGAGGACAAGGCCAAGACAACGATTTGGGTCGTCAATTATCACGGCAAGAATTGTTTGTATCAATGAAGATTCTTACCCTTTGGATTGAATAATGCACTTGCTGAGTTTCATATTGTTATGGTAAGGTTCCTAGCGAGGTTGGAATTTGTGAGTTGTTACATTGATGATATCTTGGTGTTTAGTGATACGGTGGAGTAACACTAGATACATTTGCAGATTGTGTTTGAATAATTGAAGATTCATGGTTTCCGGTTACATCTGGAGAAGTGTAAGTTATTCCAAGAGAACGTAGAGTACTTGGATCATGTGATCTACTCAAATGGTTTGGGAGTTCAGCAAGCAAAGATGAAGGCTATTGCAAGCATCACTCGTTGACGGATGTGAGTTGAGTTTGTGAATTCATGTGTTAAGCAAACTACTATCGGAGGTACGTGAAGGGGTTTGATGTTATAGCCAAACCTTTGAACGAGTTGATGAAGTTGGATCAGGAGTGACAACGAGAAGATGAACAGGAAAGAGCTTTTGTTGAACTCAAGGTCAGGTTGATGGCCACTCCTATCTTGAGAAGATCCATCAGGTGTCGTCCATACCAGTTGCACATTGATTGAAGTATGTTGGGACTTTGAGCGGTGTTGACGCAGCGTGATAATGAGCGCAAGGAGTTCGTGGTTGCATATGCTAGCCGTTCGAACAATGTAGCAAAGTCGCGATATAATTCATACGATAACGAGTTTTTGGCAGCAGTATGGATTTTGGCACACTTCAGATGTTACTTGTTTGACATGCAGTTTACCCTTGTCACTGATCACCAACCACTCAAGTGGTTGATGGAGTCCAACAAGCTCACATGAAAGCTTGCACGGTGAGCTTTTATCTTACAGAAGTATGTTTTTCAGATGATGCATAGACCTGGAGTGGCGAACTTTGATATCAATGATTTGAGTCAGAACCCATGCACTAGCCAGGCGGATAATAATGAAACTAGATGGCATGGTGATGTGTATGAGGAGATGTTACATTAACACTCTAGTACGGAGGGCCCCTCAACATCTGACTCTAATCAATGAGTGGATGGTCAATCTTCAGATTTAAAGATTGAAGATGGTGTTATGGATTAGTGTGATATTCACGATGATGCCTTAGTATTGAAGTTCTTACGGATTAGTATGGTGCAAAAGAGCAAGATCGTGTTCTGCAACGGCCAAAGAGATACCGATTGGAGGAATTATATGTTCTCCAAGTGTGGGAGTACGCAGAGTTCATACGCAGAGTACGAGAAGTACTCTGCGTATGAAGTAGCACATCGAGTTTAAAGAACGCACATCATGCGACATGCTAATGAGGAGGTGTGACATTTTGAAATGAAGCATACATACAACTTACTCCTTTGACAGTATTGGTGGCGTGATATGCATACTCATGTACAGTAGTTGGTATCATATTGCATGCTTTGTGATCAAGTGAGTTCATCATTCAATGCCCCAACACCGGAGTTACTTTGGAGTGTCTGTTTCTTATTTTGAGTCGACTAGTTCCAACATCAGAGTTACTCATGCCGGTATGACGGCCCGCATGTTGTTGTGTGTTTTATACTCTATGGGATGGCAAATGTCGTGCTTGACTTCACTGGACGATGGGTTTGTCCTTGATGTACTTTGGAAGGGTAGATGACTCGATCTTCACATGTTGCAGATAGACAACTAACGATGGGGCTACATAGCACCCAACCTACTGGTTTGGCACGCCATGAAGATGTATAGCATGTAATTGTAAATAGGGCTACCTGGGAGTCAGAAGGACCTAACTGCTAGTTACGGGGACGAGTTGTGATATATTTGAGTGTGAAAACTCTTGTGTTATGTGTGTGTGTGAGTAGCATGTCAACTATGTATAGTGTATGGCGATATATATTAGCATGACAGATCTCATATGTCTTAGTATTTGCTATTTCTAATGTCGGTCTAAAGTTAAGGGTCAAATATAGAATTGAAGAAACTCAAATAATTGTAGGTTCTTCAAATTGAGTGTATTGTGTAGAGAGTGTTTGATTTCCGCTAACTTTGAACTTAGATGGAGTGAGTTGGCTAAATTGGATGTGAAATTTCATGTTTGCAAGTGGGATGTGTAAGTTTATTCAATTATAATATATTTGAATATATATGTTTTCATATTTTATATATATAAATACCATATCAACACTGGAGAGTGTATAATAATATATATTCAAAAGTCAATGTATGAATATAATTAGTTGAAATATTTTTTTCTATTGGTTTCACGAATTTCGAGCTTGACTTGCTTCACTCACATAAGCATTGTTAAAGGTCAATGTATGGAAATAATGAGTTGAAATATGTCTTCCGTTTAGTGTGACTTTGACTCCGACTTACATGCTTGACTTGCTTCACTCGCATCAAGTATGAGTTCGACAATTGAGGTTGTCAGTTGTCACAGCCGCTCGTGCAATGAATCAATACATGCAAGGTAAGATGTTAAGGGTGAGAAGTGTGGTTGTAATGTGTTTCGTCCCACGTTTTAATTTCATCCTTTCATCATTATGGCATGTCGTAATGTTATCTTCACTCACTCTAGACATTTTCGCAGAGATTGCCAAACCTGCACGTAGTATATGTTTACAGATTTATGAATAGTATTACCAGGTTTTCTCTTCTTTTCTTTTTCTCATTTTTTTCGTCCAAGTATAGACTATCTTTAATCAGTGTTCGCTCTGCCAATGATGAGACCGACCTGCCACTGACGCATACATCAACCTGTAATCTCGTGATGGCCAGTGTTTCCTATTCAACATTTGACCGTGCGCTCTGCCGTGATATATCCGGCCTATTAAGTCGTTTGTCGCAGCAGCGGCTTCAGCTCTCATAAGCGCCCACTCTCATAACAAAGAAGAGTAGCAGCAATTCACCTCTCCAAAAAAATTCCCACAGCTGCACAGCAAAGGTCTAATTTGAACTGAATCAGGTTACAGAATGATGTGCTCGTTCAAATTTTGCCAATTGAGAGCTAGGCACCGCAGTATAGAATCTTTACATACAAGGCGCTCGTGAGAGCCATAATGGAGACGGTAGATCCACTTTCAAGTGGTGTATTGAGTGGCCAGAAAGTAAAGCAATAATGCCAGCTAGCCAGGCATGACAGTGAGCTCGAACATGATGATACAATTTAACTACATTGAGAACTTGAGTTCTCAGCGACTATCTGCAGGCTTCCGTCTGAATCCTGAAGGTTAATGCCAGTAGAAGACGACACTGCGCAGGAATTAAATTAAGTCCTACTATGAAACATGTGCAAATCCAGGTGCGCAACGGACTGCAAAGATAGATCTATCCCAACGGACTTAGTGTACACAGCTAACACGACAGAGTCACTTCACAGCTCCCTGTTTCGGCAGCATAAGCGCTAGAAAAATATTCTAAGACATCGGATTCTTTCTTCGATCTTTGCCGAAGATCTCTTCCTCGGTAAGCCTTTTCCTCGTCTTCTCATCCACCTTTTGAAGCAAAAACTTCCTGTATGGTATCAAAAAATTGCGCAAACCTGTGTACAAAAACAAGAGGCGTAAATCGGTCAGTCCAATAAAATTGCTTCCCACGTTCCAAAAGCGAATCAAAAAACTACCAGAATCGGAGACAGGAAACCCCAGAACCCACGGTATATACTACGCCTCCATTCAGATCATCAGCTGCAGGCTTTACAACGAACTGCCCATCAGCGGCACTATGTCCAGCCGAAACCCCCACAATGTGCTCAGCTATGACACTTCCAGCTTAGAAAGTTGTAAATTTCTTAGCTGGAAGTTAACAACTGAAAGCCAGTTCAGTGCAGGGGGAGACAATGGCAGAGGCTCAAAGACATCCGATGCAATAAGAAGGTGCGAGTAGGCTTCAGTACCGGCCGTTTGAGAGTAGTACTCACCAAGGATATACATCTTCCGATAGGCCTCGGCGAAGGGTGAGTCGCCAGCCTTGTGGCCCTGTTTGTCTATTTTCTCCAGACAGCCCAAAAATCGCAGGTCGGCTCGATGAAGATCGGCCTGTTCGTAGCTATCGTATCCCATATCGTGGCGATAACAACAATGATCGAGTCTGTCGATGGGCGCTTTGTCCCAGAACAGAGAACCATCTTCTCTGCCGCTGGACCAGTTCGGTCCACAGTAGTTGCCGTAGCGGGGAAACATCCTCGAGAAGAGACCTCGGGGCCCCGAGTGCCATGGGATTTTGGAAGCGTACGGGACGAACGGGGGCAGCTGGCATCCGGTTTCTTCGACATCGGTGACAGTCCTCACATTTCCTGCTGGGTCCTGCGACACGCCTTGCGATCCAAAGCTCGGAAACGTCGGAAGGTTGATCGCCGGAAACAGGTTCAGGACGTCGATCTTCATTGCGTTTTGGTCAGCACGGACAGCCGAAATGTCGTTGTCGCTGATCTTGATATTGAAGTTGATTCTGAGCGTATCAGCTGCTGGAACCCAGTGCTTCCACTATCTGCGTGTACTTCCAGCTGATGAGGGTAATCTCGAGCTACGGATTTGAGGCATGCATTTATAAATTTCTAACTCCTTTCCTTTCCTCGGAGATATCTGATTCCACGGTCTGGTATCGGCCCGAGCAGCAGAAAACTGTCAAGAACACACGCTCATCTATTCCTCCATGTTGACCCATACGGTCAGGGACAAATCCTCGATCGACAGCTCTCAATTCACTCAATTCGCATATCTCGGAGGAATTGTAAGATTTGTCATAAACGAAACACCTCAGAGCCCGTCGCATCAGACTGAGAGCATTCGATTCGCCACAACGGACGAAAATCAAGGTTTCGTTTCGACATCTGCGGCCGGCTTCAGGGTTAAATCCGGAAGGTCAGCAGATACACAAGCTGAGAAGAGCTCAATTGAAAGCTCGCGAAATCGATGTTCTCCTCATCCACATCTCACTCCGTGGCACGCGTCGTCTGATTACGGCGATGCGACCCAACACATCATCACCTCTGAGGTCTTACCGCGGAAAGAAAACGAGCTGTGAGCTGCAAGACATTGGCCGCTTTGGACGACGACGGGCGGGCTGCACCTCTCGTGCGGGCAACACGTCGCCGCAAGAAGCAGCCAAAACCATCGAAGAAAAAGCAGGTTCAAACTCGACCGTGGCTCGAGCGCGGGCCGGCACGTCAGGAGCGAGCGACGGGAAGCTTGCGGCCGAGGGCGAATCGGTGCCAGAGGCATCGAAGGACATTCCGCATGATACTCCGCACACCAGCCGATCGCAGCATCTGCAGATTCTGCAGATGCTCCCTCCGGTGCTCCGATTGGCATCCTGCGAATCTCCACATTAAAGCACTTCGTTCACATGGCAGCAAATCAGAGGCCGACCATCCACGCCCGAGCATCGCGCTCCGGGTTCCGCGCGGCGACATCGATCCTCGTCTCCCCATTCGTTACGGTCCCCCCGGGGGGCCCCACAGCCTCTCTCTCTCTCTCTCACTCACCGGTCGCCGTCTAAAGTCCTTTTGCACGCGCAACGGGAACTGGTACCCCTTCCCCTCCCCCGTCTTCCACGGGCTTCCGGCCGCAAGATTGTGGGCATCGGACGGCTCGCCCGCAGCTTCGTTGTCCGCTCTGAGATTGGCCACCCGTCCGTCGTTTGACAGGAAATGCGGTCGGGAGGTGGTCTCACGATGGAGCGGCAGAGATCCGGCGGGTTTGTTCATGTGGCAGCAGAGAGGACCGTCGGATAAGGTCTGGACTCGGGTCGGTCTCCGCACCTCTGACAGGCAATAATGGTCGGGAAGTGTGAATGTTATTCTTATGCTCGCACTGCCTACTCTCCGCAGGTTTGTCCGTCTATGCCAACTGTCAACTTTGTCCCAAATAGGTTGCCCACATGAGGAGGGAACGTGAGTCTTGTCCCCGTTGCATCACTCTACTTTCTCCAATTGTCATTCTTGCAATGCCCGGACTCACTCCATGCTTTTGCTCGCTTTCAGAAACCTAACCTGCTCGAGTAGATCCACATGACTCTACGAATTTTTTTCATAGGGAATATGGCTAGTTACCCTTCGATGTCATTCGGAAAGTTATGCTTGTTGTATGCTTCATATGAAGTAATATTTGATGTGACTTGAATAAATTTTCAGCTTAGAAATATGTATCCTTTGTTATATGTACGTGTGTATCACGAAGTTATTGTTGACCTAGTTTTGCAGAAGTATCCAAAAGAATTTCAGATACAAGTACCAAAATATTTGAAAACATAAAAAAATACTTGATCAAGTCTAAAAATTTTTCATTGAAATCCAAATTTTAAAAAATATCTCATCATAGATATTATTACTATAATTTTTTTCAAGAAAGATAAATTTTTGAAGTTTTCTTTGAGTGCATATTTTTTCAAAAGTCAAGCTTGAAAGTTTTATTGGATGTGAAAGAAGTTCTGATCATATTACATAATATCATCAGATCAAAATTTTTAAAAACAATTTCAAAATTATAATTTTTTATAATATCCAATTCAAACCATTCTTAAATTATACACATCTATCTACTTTCCTGCATAAAATTAATTTGCTTCATAATATATTAAATAAGAAAATATGTTTTATTTATAATATCAAACATCGTTTTTAGAGTATTTTGATCTCAATATATATTTACTCAATTTTAACTCAGCATAATCAAATTATGTTTCTTAAACGTAATTTTAAAAAATCAAATATAATAGATTTTTTATTAGCATTCATCACAAGTATCAATGAAAATTTATTTCTAAGTACAATATATTATAGCATTCACATTGATTAAAGATCATTGACATGCATCAGTTAACTTGGCATTTGCCAAATCTGTCATAAATAAGTTTATCATGGCATCATCAAAATTTTTTATCAAAAATATTACCAACGTTTTAAATGGTTTGAATTTACTTGAATTGATTACAATGCATGATGCACTCGAGTGACAAATCCATTGAGTACAATATGTAGTCGTCTTTCTTCCAACTAACCACGGAAAAATCATTTTCCACACGTGTATTACCAGGATATACATTAGCAAATACTCCAACAAACATGCATAATTTGGAAAATTGAGGTTTGAAAGTACTCCATGCTTCATGAAAATCTACAGACTTCGGCATTTGATCGAATATTTCACGAAGTAAATCTTCAAGCAGTCCGCAGTTCTTTGTGTTCCTGTTTTAAGCGGTCAAAGTACTCGTTGGTGAATTTCTTTTCAAGCCAAGATCGTAATCAAATGATCAGATCCACAAAGCTTGATGCAAGCATGATCGCGAATTCACAAAAAAAACATGTAACACTGCCGATGCATTATTATCAATCCAATCTGGCTTGATCAGAATATATTTTTGCTGCAATACTAATGATTTAGTTTTCAACAGAACAAACCACAACATTCTTCTCAACTTGAGATAAGCTATCAAATCATTTCAAAATAAACAAACCACACATTTGAACAAAATGCACAACATCGTTCTTGGCAATAGTGTAAAAACTTGTCACAACAGCATATGTCTTGATCTTGTTCCTGGAATAGCAATCTGGAGAATGTACCTTGCATGTTGTCACATACCAAAGACATGAATTGAACCTAAAGAAGATGACTTCTTATTGTGTAACCAATAATGTAGAATGCTACAAGGTTTTGAACACAATGTCAATCTCTATTACTTTTGTGATCAATGATAATAAAACAATCCACCGCATGATAGTTGAATTGAAATCAAAATTCTCTTGGTTTATGTATTCAATAATACGGCAACGATGAGTTGAAAACCAAAGCAATACTTTCGTCAACAATAACCAGCTAGTCGTAGCGACTTTCGGACATTTAGATCGCATTTTGTTGATCAACTTTTGTTCTTGACGCAGATCTCCAATGATGGCAATTAACGTCAAATAAAATTCTTTGTTAAGATATATAAAAATAACAGATTGAACAACATGATTGAATTGATGTACATCACATCAAAATCATATCAAGTAGATTTTTCATCTTCTCTATGGTGGGTAAAGAGAATAACAACATTATATACAATAACACCTTGTCATTCTTGTTATTGGAGATCTGCTTATTCAGATCTCCAATGATGGCAATTAACGTCGAATAAAATTCTTTGTTAAGATATATAAAAATAACAGCTTAAACAACATGATTGAATTGATGTACATCACATCAAAATCATATCAAGTAGCATTTTTCTTGTTCAACTTGAGTGAAAACATATTCCTAGTATCTTCAAAGCATGTTGATAAAAGTTTATATTCCCAAGATGAACAAATTGAATCCATAGCCTTCTCAAACATCTTGAACAAATTTTCTCCTTTGTGTCGCCCGTAAAGAAGAATACAACATAAATGAAAGCAATACAGCTTGAATTCTACAACAAATTTCACTTGAATGTCAAAATACGAGTTGCTCTCAATAGTTGATGAATCGAACGCAACAGAATAGTTCTAACAATCAACGAGTAATTTATTGAGTTTTTGAAGTCAAACGACAACAGAAACTCAAACAAACAATGATACTTTTGACTCTCATCCGCTAAAATAACCAGAAGCGAGTTCTTTGCGTGCACACTCCACTTAATACGCTATTAAACTAAACAAAGAGCCAAGACCAACCATCCCAAAAACAAACTTAGAATGTTTGGATTTAAAACTATGAACTTAATAACATACAATCGCATTGTCAGATTTGATTGGCTCAAAGAATCTCAACAAACAATCAATAGAAATATCTTCAACTTCCGAATCAAATAGATGCGTGCGTAGATTGTATCGACGATGTTTATGTTTTTATCAAAATATAACTGATTCAACAAAATGAGCATGACTTGTATTCATTAAAGCAATAGCATTAAAGAAAATTTGCTCAACGTCTAGTGATAGATAACAATATTCACTTCACTTCGTCAAGTGTTGGATTTTGAGATGTTTTGAGTACAATTCTAATCACTTTGGAACTTTAAAGTACTTTGTGGTATTAGCCAGCTTGCGCTTCTATCTGATCATTTCTTCAGGGTACTATACTTGACAAAAGCGACACAAAACTAATGTAACGTAATCAAACAACGGTTTCCGTGTCAAAAATTTTAATCCGTGTGTGAGCCTAAACTCCCCACCCTTCAGCGTTTGTAGTCCAGGTGGGGGTTCGAGCTCCCATAATCTAACTTCTCTGATCTCAACCATGTGGTCAAAATGTATTCAAGACAATGAGATCATAAACACTTGCTCTTTCACAGACAAATTATCCAAAACTGAAAATAATAACTTGCTATCTGCTATCTCCACAAGAGCAGCATACAAGCTCTTTGTTACATAAAGATCTAACCCAACTCTTGGTGACGTTCTCAATACCACAATCGTTGTGGTCTATACTAGCTCCGAGTTCCACTCCCAATTCCTACTCAGATTTCAGTGTCGATTTCTCAGCATCCACTTTCAGACCCCACCAGATTCCTCTCTCAGATTCAACTCTCCCTTTTCAGTTTCAAATTCAAGTCCTTACTGTCAGATTTCAGTCTCAGATTTCGCTTCACTCACAGCTATCATTCTCAGGTCTTCCACTCTGATCTCGGATCCCACTCACAGATTACACTTCAATCTCAGATCCCACTCACGGAATTCACTTCAATCTCAGATACCACTCACAGATTACACTTCAATCTCGGATCTCACTCACAGATTTCACTTCAATCTCAGATCCCACTCACAGATGTCGCACCTCAATCTCAGATCCCAATCTAATTTCACTCTCCGATACGACTCATCACCCACGAGAAGTTGCTTTCTCCTACTTCGAACTCTCCACACTCCCCTCCTAATCCTCACCACTTCCCTGCGAAAATCACTCACGTCCACACTCTATCCTCCTACCGATACCACCAGCGTCTCCACACAATGGCGCACCACACGATCTCTATCCCCAGGTCGAAAATTCCTCTCCAACGTTCAAGGGCCGAGTCACCCACAGCCCACGTGAATGCCGTTCCCGCGATGATGTGCAACGGCCTGGCTCCCATGTGCAACTTCATGCCCCGCCGCTGCCACACCTGTACAGTCTTTATTTATGATCACGTCAACATCCGCCGTCCGAAATTGTCTTCCGCGCACCGCCGAAGGCATCCCCCGCTGAAGACACTCTTCTGCACCTTTGCCTATCTATAACAGTCACCCCGACGCCCATAACTCACGGATCCCTGCTTCGTTTAAATCGTTCTTGGGCTCGTTGGAACAAGCGTGTTGTGCTCTTTCCAACGAGCTCCTAACTAAGTCAAAACAATAAGAATTGAGAAAGTTATGACGGTTTTTACTCTTCCGCCGAAGGCGTTTGCCCATCCGCAGGCGTCCGCGTCCTACCCGCAGGCTGCCTACCCGCAGGCGTCCGCGTCCTACCCGCAGGCTGCCTACCCGCAGGCGTCCGCCTACTCGCAGGCGTCCGCGTCCTCCACGCAGGCCGCCTACTCGCAGGCGTCCTTGGCCAAAGGCCCCTCTATATGTTAACGCCGAAGGCCCCTCTAACTGTTAACGCCGAAGGCCTCTCGCCTAACCATGACAGCCGCTTTCGACGCTCATAACTCATTGATGATTGATCCGTTTCAGGAGATCTTGGTCTCGTTGGAACCAACGCGTCGAGTTCTTTCCAACGAGACCCGAATCAAGTCAAAACGCTAAGAATTGAAAAAGATATGCTGGTTTTACTGCTTCGCCGAAGGCCTGCAACCGCCGGAGGCGTGTGTCCGCGCATAGGACAAAAGTTGAACTCCCTTCCGCGTAGGCGGAATTTCCGGCGGAGGCGAACTCCTTTCGCCAAAGGTGAACGTCTACATATCTTCCGATAGTCATAACTCCCTAAGTCCTCATCCGTTCCAAGCGTTCTTGGGCTCGTTAGAACGAGCTTGTCGAGCTCTTTCCAACGAGATCCTAACCATTGCAAACCGTTAAGAATTGAAAAAGATATGCCGGTTTTACTGCTTCGTCGAAGGCCTGTAACCGCCGAAGGCATCCGTCCGCGCATAGGACAAAAGTTGAACTCCCTTCCGCGTAGGCGGAATTCCCGCCGGAGGCGAACGTCTACGTATCTTCTGATAGTGATAACTCCCTAAGTTCTCATCTGTTCCAAGCGTTTTTGGGCTCGTTAAAACGAGCGTGTCGAGCCCTTTCCAACGAGAGCCTAACCAACGCAAACCGTTAAGAATTGAAAACGTTATCACGATTTTACCCTTCCGCCGAAGGCGTTTGCCTATGCGCAGGCCGCCTACGCGCAGGCGTCCGCGTCTTACACGCAAGCCGCCTACGCGCCACCCGCCGAAGGCCCTCCATATCAGAAACTTCCGCCGCTCCTAACTCGGTGATGCCTCATCCGTTTCAAGAGTTCTTGGTCTTGTTGGAACGAGTGTCGCGAGCTCTTTTCAACAAGACTCTAACTGAGTTAAGGCGTCACACATTGAAAACGTTATGAGAGTTTCACTCCTTCGCCGAAGGCCTTTTCCCGAAGAGACTTCACCAAAGGCACTTCGCCGAAGACCTTGCCCCGATGGCCTCCTTCCGCACCTCTTGCCCCTAACCATCACACCAACTCCTAATCTTACAGAAACTTTCAGAAAACCCCAAGCATAATTTTGCAAGAGCTTAAATCCAAACTTTTAACTTTCATAAGGGTAAAAATACATGTGAGCACAATTTTGTGCTCACACCGTGCTCAAGTTCATGAACGGACTTGAATAGAGTTTTGAGCTTGTTTGATGACATTTCATCGATATCAATGCTTCAACAACAAAGAATAAACATCATGATCTCTTCAACAGCAGACAATTATAAACGCAACTCAGATTTTTCATCTTCTCTATGGTGGGTAAAGAGAATAACAAGGTGTTATTGTACATACAATACAGGTTGAACCGTATTAATTTTAAAGGTGAAAAATAACTAATACGGTTCAACCGTATTAGTTATTTTTCACCTTTAAAATTTTACTGTTATTCGTTCAACAGCAATAGAAAAGAGCAACCCTCGACTCGAGAAACCTTCAAACCATACTTTCACTTTTATTTATGGCATCCCGCAAATATTATTTATGATAAATTTGGCACAAACCGCACACAATGTAATATTTGAAAAGTATTGCTGATTGCATATTTTTGTTTATTTTTATCGTTTCACATTTTTCTTATTAATTATAAAAAATAAAAATAAAAACTTTGATTCGTAAGTTTTTTATTTTTTTCAGATTTTTACTTTTTTTATTTATAGTGAAAATTAATTTACAGGTTATAATTTATTTCTTATAAATATATAAATCTATAAAAATGTATAAGTCATTTTTTAATATTTTTGTCATTTTTTATTTGAAACCAAAACACTATACATACTTTAGTGTCAAATATGATCTGTAAATATTTTTTGATTAGTAATAATTTGCAAGAAAATTACAAAATATTATTCTCATAATTTTGCAGTCAAGTCGGTGATGATGTATAATCAATTCAATAGAATGAATTCGTTGAAAGATTTTTCTAACATGATTTTTTGGCTGTCATTCTTTCTAAAAATACATCTTGCAATGCAATTAGTCTCATCTTGTTAGTATTATTTTTACGAGATCAATTATTGATACAAAACTTTGTATCAATAATGAAATGTGAATGAAAAAATTAACCCTATATTTATGAGATTATCAAATTTCTCATTTTTGCAGATTCGTGTATTTTTATTATTAGTTTTTAGAAACATAAAATAACGGAAATCATTTATCACATTTTGAGATGTTTTGTTCCAATTTTCAGAATTTAATTTTCCTTTTAGTGTTTAGTTTCTTGGAAACATCACCCTAAAACTTCACGTTGAAACTTTCTATCGCATCTAGCCAAATCAAATCTTTCTTAAACACAATATCTATTTGTTATCTTAAACAATTTAACTATTTAAAAATAGTTATTGTTTAATAACAAAGTTAATCCCATGGATCTTCAAAACCTTGTTAAACACCTTAACAAACTGAACAAAGTATGGTACATTGTTCTTAGCCATGTCTTGTACCTTCTCCGTGGCCATGGTTAAGCATATGATAAAGTACAGTTGATCGAAGACTATTCCTCAATGTACAATATGTTACATTTATAACAATGTTACACTACTATCTTACGTATGACTGTGGTAAAATTAAGCACATGCAACATTCAGGAAATCATTGTACTTTGATTAATTCATGTATATTTTAACTTATACATTGTACATTTCGATACTATCGTCTGTAATGACATCTTGACGTGGGGGCCTGATGTACAGGAGCCCTGTTCTTGTCCAACAGCATCCGCTGAACTTACCACATTACCTGGATATCCATGCCTGAACGAGAGCTGGGGGCAGTGTCTGTGAACGAACTGCGCTGAAGAATCGTGAGATGTTGAAGTTCATGGTCCTCGGTCGTTGCCAGAAGAAGGGAAAGTTGTTCAAGTAAACATATATGTCAGCTGCAAGGAAAGCGAGACAGAGTATACAAGAGAAGGGCCGAGGCTCCGCGGAGAATGGTTTGTTACATCCCTGTGTACAGCCAGCCAGAGCTTCGAAGGCATCTTGGACGCTCAATGTCGAGGTTTTTCGACATCACGAAAATTCCAGGAGTTTCATCGAGTACACTAATGAACCAACCTACGCGGCATTCGACATTCGAGGGTCTCAGTGGCGAAGAATTATCGGAGGCAAAAATATCTCTGCAACAATTCTGTAACATGCAAAGCCGGACTGAACTTATAGATGCAAATCCATCCTGTATTGGCAAAAGCCTGATCAACTAAGTGCATAGTTCCCCGACCTTCACTAACCCTAGCCAAGAAGTTAGTCTTTCGACTTCTAGTCCTGAAAACACGAATTTCACCCAAGCTGTGGCTCTGTAGATCAGCACCGTCAATAACGTTCCAGTACAAGCTCTAAGTCAAGTTCGACCTTCCTCTGCAGATGTATACCCTTTAAGCTCCAGAATCACCTCGACACGAGTCGCAACGAACTCAACGTCTTGTGTCCACTACGTGTTAGGCTGCAACTTCCACTGGTGTTTGTCACTCCAATTCTTCCGCAACAGTTACAAGCAAACCACTCTTTGTGCCACCCCATTTCTGCAGCAATCCATAAGACGGTAGAACTCAAAGCAGAATGTGCAGCCAAGCCTTTACTTCACTTCAAAAATATGTATATAAGGAATCTCGAGAATCAGCCCACTTGGTATGTACAGTAACTGATAGAGAAAGCCCTTCAAACTCGATGTCATCTTTGAAACTTGTCGTCATGGTTCTCGGCCACCTGCTCTTTGAAGTCGGCCGTTCAACCCATATCCTACTGTACAATAACTTGGCGCTGCACTTACAAATGGTGGTAGGTCACAATGGTGCCCTTTCTTTGGTTCTAAGAAAGAATCTAGAGAGTAATCAGTCTATGTTTTATCTGTGCTCTTAATGGGATCGGATACACGTGCACTCGTCCAATGTGGTCAAGGCGCTGGATAAGATGGAAGTCATAAAAGTCAGTCAAATTCTTGCTACCCTAAAGGCCAACTCCTGTTTGCAGAGTTTGGACACAAAAACTGGATTAAGAGGAGGATGTCAGTGGTTGCCTGAAAGACTTTTTCTCATATTCTACATACAAAATTACATTTGCTGTAAAGCATTGCTAATTTTTCGAAGCTCAGCGATAGCTGCTAAAGCTGCAGCTTGACTCTTGCCACCAAGACTACTCCTGGTGCCCTCACTTTTTTCTCGAACGGCGGGAGTCCACATCATGGTTTCCATGCCCAAAACCGATGCTTTTTGGGCCAAAGAAGACTCAAGAACCTGCATGAAGTGAAAAACAGAGATGAGAGAAACCAAGAAAAACAAGGTTCAAACTTGGCCCTGTACCTTACTCCGTCCGCAAAAAAAGGCTTAATGCCTATCGTCCAACAAGGAGCAAAAGGGAAGATTCACTTTAGCGAAGATAAAGTTTCTAACAGACGGTGGGCCAGGGATGCCCTGCTAAGAAGTTTCCGACAACAGACCTGAACGTGCTCCAGCATTGCCTGACCAAGTGCTTGCAAAGCTGCTGAGGGAGTTTTCTCCTTTGGCTTCTTAACGGCCTCTTGAGAAGTAACTTGTGTCTCCACTGACACATCCTCCTTCTGCAGCACACCCGAGCCAATGAAAACTGACTCATTTGTGTTCTTCACATCATCGACTTGCAGAGTAACAGCAGAATGCTCAGCAGCAATGCTGTCATCACTGCTAGTAGTTGCCACAAATTCTTCAGGCACCACGTCATTGTTGGAACGCCACCACCGCTTCGGCTTCCTCACCCCATTAGCAAGAGGACTGCCTAATCCCTCGGTGTCACTAACATTTCCACTCGTGGGATGGACAACTGAGCTAGTCGTAGTTTCAATTTTGCTGGGAGCTGTTTTGTCTCCAAAGCTGGCCCGGCCGAGACTCCAAACCCAGTTCAGCCTGCCTAACCGTGCTGGTTGCGCTGTAGGAGCCTCGGCTTTGAACTTCGATGGAAGAGGTGAACTATCGACACTTCTTGACGTATCCTCCACCCCACTTCGGTCACCTCCTTGGCCCTCAACTACAGATTCGGGTAAGGGAGATTGGGAAGTACGTGTAGACTCTGCATCCTGTGACTTCAAGTTTTCGCAACTTGCACTAGATACAATACCCATTCTTAATTGTGAATCCGAAACACATGGTGATTTTACTTTAGTACTTTCTTCATGAAGGGGTGAATTACTGCTGCTTACCGGCAAACACACACTTCCATTCTCAGCTCCCAGCCGAACTGCCTCGGTTTCTATACCCATTTGAGTTGAGGAAGACACATTTCGAGGTTTAACATCTGACTCCAGAGTACCGCCGCTGCCGGAAACCGGCAATTGGGAGTCCGATGAAACCCTTCTCTGACATGGTTTAGCTGAGCTACTCTTCTTCTGCTCATCGGGCTTCTGACAACAACCGGAAGTGACACAAGAGTTTATTTTCGTCTCCTGAGGACTTCCAGGATTTTCATCCTCCAAACAACTATCCGCGCATGAAAGCTTCAACCTTAGAGCTGGAGAAGTCGCAGAACCTTCTTCGTCCGTAGATGCCCTACGATGACTCAATAACTCCTGACCCTCACTATCACTATCACGAGAACCGTCACAGTCACTCGTACTGGCAACCGACTCAGCCGAAGAGTCCTTGGAGTCTCTGGTCACTCCAGGGGCTTTCTCACTTCTTCCCAGCATCTCCCTTCCCTCTTCGTCACTGGAATCCTGAGAAGTGTCAGGCGAACCAGACGCGGGCTGAGCTACAGCAGATTGAGCTAATGGGAGATTGAGCTGATGTCTTCCTTCGCTGACACTCCTGCTCAGCATCGCCGAAGACGTATCTCTATCGACATTTTCCTGATTCCTTACGACTGCCTCCAACTTGCTTGTCCTGGGGCTGAACAGCTCCTCCGGAGACTTCCTTTGAAGAACAGAGTGAGTCCATTTCTCTTCCCAATAACTTCCCGGCAAGGACATGGACACTCTTAAGACATCCGGAGAACACGAGGCTGATTTTTGATGACGCATGACATGATGCGTAGTAGTCGGTGGAGAAATACTACCACTGCGAGCATGCTTGCCATTCCTACTAATTTCAGACGCACGAGTGCTTCTTGGTACAGTTGGGGTCGGGGATCTTTCAGCTGCTCGTGCGAGAGGCTGAAGCGACCTGGCACTATCAATCAAGTTCCTCACATCCGGAATTTGTGGAAAGTTGAGCAAGCGTTGCAGACAGGCCGTAGCATCAGGGGCTGCAAGCAGAGCTGGCCGGACATAGAGAAGCATTGAAACCGCCATAGAAGAGATGAGCGCACTTCTCTGGGAGAACCTCAAAATGCAGCTATCCTCGTCTCCATCTTCCACGAAAAGAGGAGTGTTATCTGCTGTTAAGATAGCGTCCCACACGCGCAACAAGTCCTCAAGAATGAACTCTCGCCCAAAGAGCAGACGAAGCCAACGAAGAGCGAAGAACTGTGGTTCCACCCCCAGTTCCACGAGATGAGTGTAAAGAGAGATGTCAGCAGCAGCCAAGGTCCGATAGAGAGCAGCCGATGCTTCTATTACTGGAGGTACACTTACACCTGGTGGTGAAGAGAAGTAGGCAGCCATTGACACAGCCCCACCCTGCCCAATGAGCATGGCATCCAGCATACAGTAAGCATCATGCTCTAAAAATCGAGCTGAAAGAAGAGCACCCAACTCGCCCTCAACTCCATACATATCGCTGCCCTGGACGATAACACTTAGGTCAACCCTTTTTTCATCAGAATCGGCTGCAGGATCCGCAGTTTTCTGCCCTTTATCATCGAAATTTATCGAGTCTCCTGCTATTATCATCTCCCCTACAAATTTCTTGGCCGACTCCACTTTATCCCTCACATGGTCTTCTTGAAGAGACAGGCTGTCAAATCTATCATCAAAAAGGTCTTCGAATCGATGCTTCACTTGTGACAGGCGCACAACATCGACGTGTAGAACATATAGCAGCGGTGCAAGCAATTCGTGCATGCCTGCAAAAGTCAAAAGATTCGTTAAAAATGGACGTGAACAACCGAACTGCTCTCCGTGTCGAATCTGCTGACGACGGGTACATCTGAGTACACGCATTTGAACGGACAACCTCCTTTGAGAACCTCCAGAAGCTCCATTGAAGTTCTTCTTCAATGGAGCTTCAGCCGAGAGCAATTCGTCAACAAACCAAAGGAACTTGAGTATCTGTACGTAAAATAGATTATAAACCCCACCTTGACGGTAGCTGAATTGTGGGTGGATGAGGGACCACACGAGCAAGATACGTCGCATCATAGCCTGACAAGGAGCACTCTGGAAGAAGATGCCGTGCTCAGGATATAACCGTGTAAGATCCTTGTCGATAGTCTTCTCCAATTCGGCATTCCGGAAGTACCGACCCCAAACGCTTTCTGCATTCATGTCATCCCATTTTGATTTGTTATCACAAACATTCCAACGCCATCGCATTACCTCAGTAAAATTAGCGGGACATCACAGACGAGGAGAAGGCACATGACATTTCCAAACTAAGAACTCAAGGAAAGAATGTTCCAAAAAATGTTACAACTGCTTACCAGGATCGAGGGAAAGTGGATTATCCATGCTAGTATCTTCCTCATCATCGTCCATAATGTGAGGATCGACCAGCAGCCGTCTTCGTAGATCTGCATATCTGCGACCACCCAACATGATAAATTTAACCAAAAGAAAAAAGCAGTAAGGGCTTGCGAAGTGAACTCAATGAAGCACCAGCATGAGAATCATCCAGACTCAGCTAAATAAAGCACGGCATTCCCTCTGATCCTTCCTGGCTACCAAAAGCATTGTAAATTGCCTGTAAGACAATCGGATAACCGGCATCATGGGAAAGAGGGTTCAGGTCAGTTCTGATGTGGATGTGCCATACTAGCAAGACACACCATAAAAGTCAACTGATATTCTACACCTAGAGGTAAATCCCCATGAGAAAAGCATAGTACCAAAGCTCCAATGCGTGACAAAGGTACAGACGACAATTTGGATAGCTGTAATGTAAGGCATCAATCATTCGGGGCCGGCTGCATAGTGATAATTTAAGAAGGTAAACAAGTTTCTCACGAAAACGGTCAAGGCGGCAGTCCCATACAACATGACAATTCAAAGTGACACACTTGCAAAGTCCAAGGATTTTCCACGACTGAGACAAAGACTCTAGTTCAGATTAGTGAAGAAGGTAACTTTTATACATGAGACCCGAGGCTTCTGCCATTGCAGGAGAATGGAATGAACGAATACGAGAAGAATTGCAAGAATTTATGTAAGTCACTTGAACAGCCAGAGAAAGGCCACTATTCTAGCCTACTGAAACTAAACTGAAGTGAACTGCACTGCACTGCACTGCGGCCTCGGGTATTGAGTGAATGAGAAACTCCTCAGTGACTACAGCCAGTTCGATAAAATCTATGAGAGTTTGAATATTTTCTCATCATAAGAATTGCTCACATAGAGCTCAGCAGATTAATCTTGCCGAGAATCATACTTACTGGCATGAAAGATGTGGGATCTGCAGATGCATAAGTATCTCCAGTGATAAGCATACGACTCAATCTCAAATACACGACCGATCGACATGAAGCTCAGCGAAAAGAATCCTGATGGTGGTGCGGAAGTGTGTGAAACCACATGCTCACCTCCGACGGCCATCGGCAGTGGCGCGGCGCATCGCATCGACAGAGGCAGCGCTGCCTGGCAAGACGCCAAGCTTCACACGCCATTCCACCCCTCTCAAACGCCATCCTTTGGTACCGCTGCTCACTCGTGACCACCTGGGGCTGCCTTTCAGTCCCCCGTTAATACTTTCATCGTCGCTCCCATTGGCACATCCTCCTGCTTCTTCCGTTTCCGCACTGAGCCCATTCTGACTCTGTGGCATATCTTCCTCCTCCTCCCCACTCCCCACCCGTGCGCACGAGCTCGGCGTCACCGATTCAGCCCTTTTGCCTCGCCCAAGAGCCTCTCGCTCTTTCCTACTCCCTTTACAACCCCCAGCACCACCACTACCACCCTTCACACTCACTCCGCCATCATTTCTTAGTCCGTCCCTCCTCGCACCCACCCACCCAGCAGACGGACCCCGTCTCGCTTCCCTCTCGTCCTCCGAACTGATTATCAATCAATCAATCAATCAATCACGACATAGACGAGGACAAGCGAGGGCTCCGTCATGTTCTCTTTTTCACCCTCCCATCCTTTCTTCATCTCTTTCTCTTCGCTACAACTATCCCTCTCCCCCATCCATCACACACTCTCGCCCTCTCAATCTCAATCTCTCCCTCTCCCTCTACACTCGACGATTCGGCAGCGATGTGATCGCCTCTCTACTATCCTTCTCGTCTCAGCGCCTCGCTGCTTCGCTCGACTGACTGACCGACTGACTCTCTCTCTCTCTTCCTCCCCACCTCCCTCGTCTCTCTCTGCGCGGGCGTGCCCTCCTGCCTTGCTTTGCTTTGCTTTGCTTTGCCACTGGAAGACGCGAAACCGAACGCAAGAGTCAATACGTACTGCCGCTGCTGCTGCTGCAGCTACTCACGCCTCCGTCCTCTCCCCCACCTCCCTCCCTCCCTCCATGCCTCCCCACCACCATCGTTTCGTCCACCCTCGCAAAAACAAAAACAATTCCTCATGCATTACCTCATCGGCAATCGCTTCTTCCGCTCTGCTCTGCTGCTTCGGCTGCTGCTGCTGCTGCCGCCTATGCATCCTCATCACCCCGCGGGCCCATGCGGGCATCTGCTGCAGTCTTTACCGAGGCCCCCTCCGCCCTGCAATTCCAGATTTTCTCACTCGCCTGCTACTCTCGCAATTCCAGATTTCCTCCGCCATCGCCACAGCTCTTCCCCATTCGCTGTTCGCTCTCCGGCGCTACTTTCGATTTTCGGTCCTCCCTGTTGCCTCGAAGACCCAGCCCCGTGCCGTCCTCTCCCGACATCGCCAGCACTGATCGCCATTCGCGACGGCGCGCTCTGCACCGACGGTGTGCAGTCACCGCAACTTCCCGTTACGAGAGCACTCTTCACAGGAACAATAAATAATCCATCTTCCCTGTTCTCTTCTTACTTCCATCCCTGGTTTTGCTCTGACATTTTTTCTAGGTTTTCCATCTCCAGCCGTGTGCTTTCTCTGTTCTTAGTGGGGTTCGAAACCGAAGCCCACATCTTAAATCGTCTAGGCCACATGAAATATCCAAAAATATGTCTTCCTGCTCAATCTCAATGGCTATTAATGCATACAAAGGAGATCAATGTGAATAAGATATTTGGATTGTTAAGTTATATTTGGTTGGCATATATCAAATACCACATTTGCACTCTCCATAGAAAAAAAAACCTTTGCTTGCAATTACATTATATAAGTTGGCAGTGAAACAAAATTCCTCAAAAACTATTTGACATTTCAAAATGATAGAGTCATATGTTGATGACATACATTTCTCTTTAGAAGATGCGTCATGTTTAAAAAAAGATCAAAAACTAAACTTTGACAATAGAATTTCAAGCCTACAAGATGATGCTAGATAGTAAAAATCACTGAAACTGAAATTCACCTCAAAATAAATTTTTTCTGAACCAAAACCGGTGTTTTGCAATTTTTTTTTGCTATTGATCATATAAATTGATTTTTTCATTAAAAAAACCATTGAGGTAGAAAAAAAAGACTAAAAAAATGTAGAAAAATAAAATAAGGCTCTATAAATATTTCCTTGTTTCATAAAGTATCCTAATAAAAGAAATAAATAGATCAATCTTTCTAATGTATATCAAAGAAGATTCAATCTTGATGAAACAAAAAGTTCTTCAATGTATAACAATGTAGCTATACAACTTTTTGGTGTGATGATTTCAAGCTTGAGTAGACAAAGATTTAAGATGTTTGAAATGATTTAAGAGGTTTCAAGGACATGGAAAATCAACAAATTAACAAATTAATTAATTAATTGTTAATTAAAATTAACAATTAACAAGATGAAATAAACAAAACTTACAGCACTTTTATTATTATTATTCTAGTCTGATGCAAAAGTCGCAATCTAATTGAAACATAATTTATACACCACATTTAGTCATTTATTTATATTTGGTGATTGATATATTTACTCAAAAACCTTGCAAAACAAAATCATCATCACATTCATGAAAAAATTCTCAAAAGATATTACTTTATCATAGGTTATTTATAAGGTATGATAAAATAATATCCTTTTCATGTTAAGGAAAAAATAATGCATAAAAATTAACAAATATTTGTCTATCAAAACACAATGGCTTCTGTGCAATGTATATTGAATATCATTGTGATAGATTTTGTCTATTAATGCATGATATATGCATAAACAACCCAATATACACAAGAGATAATTGATTCATGACCTTTTTTCTAAACTTGTGTGATTCAAAATATCCTGTCAAAAAATCTAAACCAAGTGAGGAGTTTTATTTATTTATTTATAAATCAGAAATTGCGTGACAAGTATCTCTATGTGCATTGTAGACTCATTTACTTTTTGTAGTCTTTAAACACTAAACATCGTCTCTTCATGTCTTCCATTCCTTTGTGAAGGTAACAAATAAAAGAACAATCACACTTACTCATCCATAATATTACGTGTCAATTGATCAAAGCCACAAACATAAAACATATTCAGTATGTAATGAAAGTCATTAGAAAACGTAAAATATGTGTGGACATGAGATTTCAATCCAACATATATTTATAATATGGTATGTATCTATGTGAGAACTTGGCAAGTTTTCCTTGAACAATTGATGTAATCAATCTTATTTTCCAAGAAAATCCATAACAATCTGATTATTCTTCTCAAGTTTGCGTGCCACTTAATCTGAAAATGACCTATTAGCATATTTCTAAAGTAGATTAGTACCCCATGCACTTGCAATGTAAAGAAAAATAAACAATCTTGACGCGGTGTACCCACTTCAAATTTGTTATTGAAGAGAAGTGAAGCTACAGTAGATGACACTCCATCAACTGTGTACTATTGAACACTGCAACCTTGACACCTCATTTCACGTCAAGAAAAACAGATGATCAAACCATACATTCAAAAAACATTCATAATGATATATTATGACGTCCATAGTTTTTGAGCCAGATCTCAACGTTACAAACGCAGTAAAAAGAAGAATCTTTCAGAATACTAAACTTATCACCATCATCCTATACAATTATTTCCACACGGGTTCAATTTCCAATCCCTTAGTACCTCAGCTGAACAATGTTAGTTCCCATAGAACCTAATTTGAAAACAACTCCATATTTGCTACTTGTTTCTTTCTTTAGGACATATCTATAAATGAATCTGAACTTACTGGTTCAAAACTGGGACCATTGATATCGTAAGCACATCAATCCTCGCCTGGCACTTAACTACCGCACTGTCAAACTGCTGCTGAATTGATTCAGCCTTGCACTTGAGTCTCCTCTCTTCATGGCCTGATTATTCGTGACAGATGAAGAGTTAAACTGTTGGTGTAGCTTCTCCGCAACGCAGAGCAAACTACAGCGGTTATCATTGTCCTTATATCAACATGAAATGCTATACTGGAACAGGTCAGAACACACTGTCTGCATCTCGCACTTTCGTGATTCGCTTTCGCGACATGGACAAGGGTCGGACCCACCTTGTCTTCCTCCAACACCCTGGTAGAACCCGTTAATAAACCATATCTAAATTTAGCCCGAGCGCCTCTCAGGTCGCGCCCCCTAGATCGGTGAATACTTTCTACCGCAGCATATTCACCGGATGCCCAGAGATTCTAGCCCGCTCCAAACTGACGTGACCTGTACGCCGGTCCCTTCCAGGTCGTCGGCGGCTCGGTCCAGGTTATGTACCGGAGAGAGAGATCACCTTTACTATTGACTGCACAGCATTTCACAGACTTAAATATACGCACGCCTTGCGGGTATTTACATCTCGAGGTAACTGGAATTCCTCAGACGCAGGGATTACCCGCGGGAGCTGCCGGCTATAGCAAAACCGACTCCCTGTCCGGGTCCGGTGACGCGGCGCAATGAGACGAACCGGCGGTCATAAATGTGGATATGAGCCGAGTTCATTGGCTTACGGGTCCTGCGCATTAGTAGAACATTTGGACAGTCGATAGTCCATACTTGACTGAGGAGACGGCGCTGTAGAGACTGGTTCGTGCAGTATGAACGGCCGTCCCTACAGTGTGGAACAAGAGGTTACTCCTCTGTCTCCAGCTTAGATGCTGTTGATTGTGAAAGTCCGCTGGACCGTATGACCGGGTTTATGGCGATGACTAGAATGTAATTGGTTTGTATTCCAGTCTTTTGGAAGACAAAGGCTCGGAGATTGCGAGTCCATGTGCCAGTCTTTCTTACTTTCTTGTCTAACTATAAATACTGAGTATTATGGTGCCAATACTTGCAGACGTTGCGGTCGGACTCGCTTGAACCTAAAACACTCTCGAATTCAAGACGAGTAGAAGTGGTTTGAGCCATTCTATGTGTGGAAAGATATTGCCAATTTAGATCAGTGGAATTTTTGTTGATAAAGGACCGGGATGGACTAACAACCCATTTTTAGAAAAAGGAAATTCATTATATTTTGAAACGTCGTGGTGGTGGGGGTCCTTCTCTGCGTCGCTCGGAGGTTACCTTTATTTGCCCTGTATGCCACGTTGAGCTCATTACCATTGGTTCCTGTCTGCTCGTTGTCGAATCATATGTGCACACAAGCCATCTTGTTCGGCTGAAAGAAGGGGAAAGTGGCTTAAAGCACGTAATTTCTTGCTTATCAAACTTGGGTATACGTACATCGGGTGAATGTGGCCTAAAACGAGTGATCACATGTATTCTGAAATTCGCAATGGGGGGTACCCAATTAAACGTGGTTAATCGGGTACCCCCAATTACGCTTGTAAATCGGACAATACCATGGACACCGTGATTAAGGCGTCACTGGTATCGTATCAGGACGCTTTCCAAGTTTATGACAAGAAGGAATCCACAATTGCACACAATTCTTCTGCATGCCACGTACCACTTGTTGTTTCGCGAATGGCCTAGTAGTCGGTTCATGATCTCACGCTATGGCAAGCTTACTTTTTTTTTCCTTCTTTTTTCCCCTTTGCTTTTGGTAAGATTGTCTATTCTTTGAAGTGTGAAGGACTCGCCCGGAGGAGTCATTGGCCGGAATGGATAAGGGTGAGCTCACCTCCTCGGACCGGCAACACACACTTTTGACAATGATGGTACACAAGCAACCTCGTCTTATCCTGCTCTGTTGCATCAAAGCCTAATGGAAGAGATGTCATCTTATATCATTGCCATGATGAACTTATTTTGAACATTTTGATACATGTCATTTGAAAAGAATTGTATTCATTGATACTTCATTTTAGAAATAATAAACTTATAATAAAATTATCTTAAAAAATATCGTCAAAATAGAATTAATATGAGAATTGAAGAGAACACAACATTATAGATGATGATGTCGCATTCGTTTGAGTGCAATTTTTGCTTCGTTCGCAAATCTGTAGTCGACAGCTTAAATCCGACTCTGAGAGTAAGATGTTAGCTATTGCTCATTCTGCCAACCTTGGGCAAATTTAAGATCTCTAAATAAAACTTATAATGACTTAATAACCTTAAGTTCTGTAATAAAAACTCTCAGTTATAACATGCAAAATTTGTAAGGAATATGTGTGAA